TGCGGAAAAAGGCGGAACAGCGTCCACCGTCCACCCCTCCGCCGCCAACTTGGCAGATTAACGATTCGTAAAATGTATGTTGCATTTTCAAAACGGTGCTGAGTATTACAAGTTACGATTTCATGTATGCTTGTTATCATCGGCCATGGCTTTCCCTCACCCAAAGACAGGGTGTGGGGAATGGAAAATACATGGACCCAGAACCACACCACTGTCTTTGCAAGCGCGAACATACGAGAAATATCGAAATGACAAAATAACGAACGCAAAGCGTCGAAAAGGTAAAATATCGACTTGAAATGGCTCTCTGCGGACTCCTTAGAGCTCTGTCGAACTCTGTCGAAATTAGGTTTCGCTCGACAGATCTTCCGGGGCTATCAAACATAGACGGATCCAACCCAGAGTTTTCGGAGGGTCTTGGAGGGTCTCAAATCAACGCAGGCAGGTGTCAGGGGACATGCTGGCCTGTAAGGGCTCCGCAAAGAGTTCAGATTCAGAGGGCACTCAGAACGACCTTTGTGGGCCCTACGAAGGTCTCCGAGAGCTCACGCAGACTCCTGGAATTCCACACTGATTCTCAGGCCAAATGTCGGCTTGTTGAATCACTTTATCCGCTCTTGGTTCCCCTTTCGCCGGCCTCTGAGAGTCCCAACGCCGGAACTTATGGGGCCATGGGCCCTACACCGGCTTTTAGGGCCCCTACATCGACTCTTGGGACTCATGACCAGTGGCGGCGGAAGGTAATTTTGGACGGGGGTGCACAATTTTCTCAAGGGGCCCCTCTGGAAGTTTTGGGCCCCCTTCAGTTTTTTAAAGTGATTATTAATGATTTATGAAAAACGAAAATTTTGGAAAATTATCCCCATACACACAGGTTCTGTAAAAAGTTTGAAATTGCAGTGTACCTACCTGTCTCAAATAATGAAAGCATAAAGAAGCAAATGCAACTAGTTTTTTATCGGCTGATCTTTTAGTCTAGCTACCACCCGCAGCGTCTCAAGCCACTTTTCTGGATCCGCAGAGGACCATTGAGGGCCCTACGAGACCGTTCCAAGAAGACCGTGTTTAGAAGCCCCTTGGAAACCGACCACATAGGGACTCCTCTAGAGACCTACATGACTCCCCAGACTGAATGAACCCTCCGATCAGGGTCGGTCCCTTGAAAGTTGCTGAAAGGTTTCAAAAGGCAGTATAGGCTCGAAAGTCTTTTGAGGGCTCTCAGAAACCGGCATCGGACCCCAAAAAAGCCTATATGGAGGCCCTCCAAAGCCGGGATGGAGGCCACACGAGCCGATGTTTAGCCTTAAGAGCCGGTATGGAGGACTGAATAGAGGAAAGGGGTCTCAGTGGGGCCTTCAGGGGCAAGCGTTTGAGCCCCAAAAGTATGTGTGGGGTCTTAGAGGCAGGTAGACCCCTTGGATATGCGCGGGGTCCCAGGAGCTCGCGTGTGAGCCAAAATATTCGGCTGGCGGCTACTAGAACCAGCATGGGGATTCTTAGAAGCTGCTTAGACCCACATTTCATGGGTCATGAGTCCCAAGAGTCGATGTAGGGGCCATAAAAAGCCGGTGTAAGGCCCATGGCCCCATACGTTCCGACATTGAGACTCTCAGAGGCCGGCGACGGGGCACCAAGAGCAGATAAAGTGCCTCAACAAGCCGACATGGGGCCTGAGAATCATTGTGGAATTCCAGGAGCCAGCATGAGCTCTCGGAGACCTTCGTATTTCGTAAGGTCCACAAAGGTCGTTGGATCCTCTGAATCTGAACTCTGCGGGGCCCTCAGAGGCCAGCATGTCTCCTCGCACCTGCCTGCGTTGAGTTGAGACCCTCCGAGGCCGTCGTAGGGTTCTTCAGAGGCCAGCGTTGGCCCTTGAAACCTTCGTTGGCCCTTGAAACCTTCGTTGGCCCTTGAAACCTTCGTTAGGCCCTTGAAACCTTCGTTAGCCCTAGAAGCCGTCAAGAGGGCCCTCAGAGGTCAGCATGGCCCCTGGAGCCTGCCTGCGTCGAGGCTCTCAGAGGCCGTCGTGGGGCCCTCAGACGCCAGTGTGGGCCTTTGGAGCTTGCGTTGGGTCTTAGACCATCGTGAGGGCCCAGAGAGGTCGTCGTCAGGGCTCTCAGCCCGTCAGGGACCGTCCTGGGGTCCTCAGAAGTTGTTGTGAGGGCCTTTAGAAGCCTTCGAGAGGATCATCAGAGGTCGTCATGAGGGTCCTTGGCCATATTGAGGGTCTTCATGGGCCCTCAGATACCTTTGAAGGGCTCTCAGAGGCCTTGGTAAGACTGCTAGAGGCCATTGTTGTTAGGGCCCTCAATAGGCCGTTGCAGAGCCCTCAGATGCCAGCATAGCCCCTGCAGCCTGGTTGTGTTGAGGCCCTCAGAGGCCGTCGCTGGGCTGTCTGAAGCCAAATGGGCCCTCAGACTTGAGTTGGGTCTAGGGCCGTCACAAGGGCCCTCAGAGACCGTCGTAGAGGCCCTCAGAGGCCAGTGGGGCCCCTGGAGTCCTGTGGGACCCTCAGCGGTCGTCATGAGGGCCCTTAGTGGTCGTTATAGGGCCCCAGGGGACAGAGTTCGTCGTGACAGCCCTCAGAGATCATCGTAAGGGCCCTCAGAGGCCATCATAGGGGCCCTCAGAGGCCAGCGCGGCCCCTGGAGTCTCCTTGGGGCCCTGGAGTCTCTGTGGGACCCTCGGCGGTCGTCATGAGGGCCCTTAGTGGCCGTTGTAGGGCCCCAGGGGACAAAGCCCTCAGGTGGGAGCCCTTAGAGATCGTCATAAAAGGGCCCTCTGAGGCCGTCGTGGCGGCCCTCAGATGCCGCATGGAGCGCCAAACGCGGCTCGGAACACTTCTAGTCGGTGTGGGGGCCCAAAGACTAGCATGGGGCGCTCCTGACCATTATTGGACATCCCTATCAGTGTTCGTTTCCCGATCACTGGTTTTCAGGAGAAATGTATTGGATGGTGCGACGGGCCCCTTGTACGGATTTTGGGGGTGCAAAAAGATATGTTTGCACCCCCATGTTTTTCGATGGGGATGCAGCTGCACCCCCTGCACCCCCTATTCCGCCGCCACTGCTCATGACTCATTATATATGGGTCTAAGCGGCTTCTAAAAATCACCATGCAGGTTGTAGTAGCCGCCAGTCGAATATTTGGGCTCACACGCTAGCTCCCACCTCACCAGCGCACGGGGTCCCACCCCGTGCACGCTCCAGGGGCCTACCTGCCTCTAAGACCCCACACATACTTTTGGGGCTCCAAACGCTTGCTCCTGAAGGCCCCACTGAGACTCCTAGTCCTTTCCTCTATTCAGTCCTCCATGCTGGCTCTTTAGGCTAAACATCGGCTCCTGGTGGCCATCCCGGCTTTGGAGGGTCTCCATACAGGCTTTTTTGGGTCCGATGTCAGTCTCTGAGAACCATCAAAAGCCTTTCGAGCCTACGAGTATACTGCTTTCTGAAACCCTTCAGCAACTTCTGAGGGACCGACCCTGGTCGGAGTCTCATTCGGTCTGGGGAGTCATGTAGGTCTCTGGAGGAGCCTCTAAGGGGTCGGTTTCCAAGGGGCTTTTAAACACGGTCTTCTAAGAACGGTCTCGTAGGGCCTTTAATGGTCCACTGCGGATCCAGAAAAGTGGGTTGAGATGCTGAGGGTGGTGGCTAGACTAAAACAAGATTAGATGATAAAAACTAGCTGCATTTGCTTCGATATGCTTTATTTGAGATAGGTACACTGTAATTTCAAATATTTTGCAGAAATTGTGTGTTTGGGGATGGTTTTCCAAAATCTTCGTTTTTCATAAAGCAATGATAATCACTCTAAAAAGTATCGGGGGGGGGGGAGAAACTTCCAGAGGGGACCCTTGAGAAAACTTTGCACCCCCATCCGAAATTACCTTCCGCCGCCACTGCTGAGCTCTACAAAAAATATCAGAGTTTTCCAAGTCTGTCATGGACCCGCTGATTGCTCTTTGCGGCCTACAGATAACAGAGGGCCCGATGAGTTCGACAGAGCTCTAAGTCCGCAGAGGCCATTTCAAGTCGATATTTTACCTTTTCGACACTTTGCGTTCGTTATTTTGTCTTTTCGAGATTTTGCTTTCGATATTTTGCCTTTTCGATATTTTGCGCTCGATATTTTGCCTTTTCGATATTTTGCGTTCGATATTTTGTCTGTTCGATATTTTGCGTTCGATATTTTGCCTTTTCGATATTCTGCGGTCGATATTTTGTCTTTCAATATTTTGTCTTTCGATATTTTGTCTTTCGATATTTTGCGTTTCGATATTTTGCGTTTCGATTGTTTGCGTTTCGATATTTTGCTTTCGATATTATGCTATTCGATATTTTGCGATTTCGATATTTTGCAATTCGATATTTTGCGATTCGATATTTTGCGATTTCGATATTTTGCGATTTAGATATTTTGGAATTCGATATTTTGCGATTTCGATATTTTGCGATTTCGATAATTTGCGACTTCGATATTTTGCTTTCGATAATTTGCGTTCGATATTTTGCGCTTCGATATTTTGCGTTTCGATATTTTGTCATGGAAGCCACCTGCCCCCCCCCCCCCCTCGGCCGGCGAGGGGTACACCACAGACATCAACATTAGACGGTATAGAAAAAGCAATGCCTACGGGCTTACGGGAGGTACACATTATGTCAATGTAGACGTTAGATTACGTGAAAGAGAACTGCATAAAGACGAAGGGTAAGTTCACTTGATTTGAATTGTTGACCTGAGTACGAGTGACCTGGGTCTCTGACATTTGTACTCCTACATGTCGGGCGAAGACGCACCATGAGGTGTGTCAAAAACATAGGGGTAGAGTAAAAACACTTTCCTACCCACGACAATGTTATATCCGATCACCAATCGTCGATCGGCAAAGACTGCACCCCAACTGCCCCCGTATCGGTCGAATGGCGCACCAATCGCAGCCGTCCGCGGAGTGACGTCACCGGCCGGGAGGATCGACCGGCCGGTGCGGTGACGGCAGTGCAGTCAGAGGTCGGTCGGCCCGCGGAGAGTTTGAGTTTGTTTGGCACCGAGTTGGAGTGGCGGCTCTCCCCCGGCGTGTTACCATGGAGACGGTGCTAAACGGGCTGCTGTGCGTGGCGCAGGCACTCTTCCTCTGGCTGCAGTCGGTGGTGCTGTTCTTTGTGCCGGCCAAATACCGGGAGAAGTCGGTGTCCGGCGATGTGGCGCTCATCACCGGCGCCGGCAGCGGCATCGGCCGACTGCTGGCCCTCCGGCTGGCCAAGAGGGGCGCCCGCATCGTCACCTGGGACGTCAACGCGGAGGGTGAGTGGGCAGCGGTCGCCGGAGAGGAGAGCGGTCCGCGGCTGGTTTAGAGGTCGCTGGAGCGTGCAGCGCAGCGAGGTCTGCAGGCGCACTCTGCCTCTGATATCATATCCTGATCCCCTGACAAGTAACAGAAGCACTCTGATGTGTCGTGTGTTGTGCTCCCCTCGGCTGCGCGGGGGCTGAGAGGGGCACCATCCCCTCCCCAGGAGCCCCCCCCCCCCCGGCCGACACGGACCTTTGTACTGTCACCAGCTGCCCTTACCGGCCTCAGCGCTCCATTCCGACCGGCCCACAGCGCGCGGTGAATGGCCGGGCCCGCTGTCAGGCACCCGCCCCTTCCCGGCGGGGCTAGCTAGTAGATAAGCCCGGGCGCCCGCTTTTTGTGTGCCGAGTGACGACTGACGGCCGCCGGCGGACCCAGGCGCCGACCCGGGCCGCCGGCGGACCCAGGCGCTGCCATGGTCTGGATCCAGGCGGTGGTATAGGGCGGATCCAGGCGCTGCCATGTGCCGCATCTAGGCGGTGTTGTAGGACGGATCCAGGCGCTGCCATGTGCCGCATCTAGGCGGTGTTGTAGGACGGATCCAGGCGCTGCCATGGGCTGGATCCAGACTGTGTTATGGGGCGGATCCAGGAATTGCTATCATGTGGCGATAAAATCAGTACCTACCTAGCCGCCGAAAATGTATATGACTGACTTTGACTTTTCTTCGACTATTACGGAGTTATTCGGACACCGCCTTTCCCAGGCCAAGCCCAAATACACATAACCTTATACCTACATCATACATCATAGATCAACTGCAGGGTGCACAGATAAGGACGTTCCACATGAGTTCACCTGAACCCCAGCGACATTGAACCACACTCCGAGCAGTCCGAAGACTGCGGATTGTGGGTTCTGTCGGCTTTCGTGGTGGACTGGACGACTTGCTGCGGTTGGTCCTGCATCTGAACCGCCCAGCGAGTTAAACAGACCTGAACCAATGTAAACAACATAATGCCGAGAGGTCATTGCCCTGCAGGAAGAGGATTGGGTTGGGCGTTCTTATGTAATCATTGTTTAAGGTTCTTAGCAATGCTCTTACAATTTTAATTCGTAATGCTTCATTGTCTTGCGCCTCTCAGTCATACAATGCTCGTACGGATCAATCCATATTTTTGCCTGCATAATCTATAATCGTTTCGCAGTACTGCATCTCAAGATAGCCTATTATAGGAAAACGGCCGCCCAAATGTAGCTGGAGCTTCTCAGAAAAAGGGGGTGTGTGACGTAGCGACCGGTGACCAAAGACAAATTGCCCAATTCGCCAGTAACCTCTGAGGTTAGGTCTATGGCTCTATGGTTGATATTTTTGCAAATATCTTCTTTGCCACTTGTGTGTTGATCTCAGGTCAATATCAGGACAAAACCAGTCAGGTGCGGTTAGGTCATGAGGCTGATAGAAGGTCACGTATGTAGTACCTATGCATGTCAACAGCTTGCCGTAAACTCATTTACCGCAGTTCATTTATACTTGCTTCGTCCGCAATCCCGAAGAAAATTTGATATTCGTTTTTGTCACAAGGCCGGCCCACACTCGTAATGGTACTATTGGCGTGCAGGGTGATTCGAGCTGATTTTGCTCCTGAATGGATGGCTTGGCAGTAAAAATGCTTGAAAATGCGATTGTTGCGAAACAAAGCTGAATGATGGGACTCTCTCTACCTATGGGCAGGGGCTGAAGGAGCTGATCATTTGCACCAACAGAGCTCTCCCAATTCCACTCATGCGAAGTGGTCTACCGTGCCAACAAAAGTCCAGGCCCACATCGTAACGCCACATTGAACGGGTTTTCCCGCGCGCTTTTGCGCCGTTTCTCTCTCTACACGAGGTCGTTCCGTTCTGTCGCGCGCGTGCAGACTCGCGTCATCCAGTTTTCTTCTCTCAGAGGCCATTGACCCTGTCTGGTCGGCATGACTGGGAGGGGCTCGGGGCAGTCATCTCACGCCGCTGCGCCGCCGCTGCTTGCTGGTCCGCTGGTCCGCCGTCGCCCGACCCTCGCTGTCATGACCGAACGGTAACGAGCGCCTCGGGCTGTGGGCCATCTTCCTCCCAGCAGTGGTGTGAGTGTGTGCACTGTGCACCGTACGTGTGCACTGTGCGCCGTGCGCTGTGCGTATGGGGTACAGAAAGTGCGGGATGATTGGGATGAATTGATGGTCGTCTCTGCTCGCTATAATATGATCATGGGCTGAAGTGGAACCACATACAAACCCATCATTTTTAGTCGCATGTTAATATGGCAGACTGCAGTGACGTTTCGACACATCTAGCACCATCCACATGGGCAACTCTGGGATGTAGAAATGTTTTTTATTTGAATTAAGCCCCATAATCTCTGACCTGTCCGCTGCCGCAAAAATGTCTGAGCGATATCTGCACGCTTGGTTTTGAAACCGCTAGTGTCACCGTTAGCACCTCACCTTAGCTTTATAAAGTGATATAATCTGATTTGAATATTATCTTCAGATTTCAGCGAGGATGACTTAGCCGATGTATATCTTGATGACAACATTTTTTATCGAAAGCCTCAAAGACCGTCCAGCAAGCTCGAAATGATTCAAGGTCGTTCTTGGACGCCATGGTTAGTTTAAATGACTTCAATCGACGGGACCTTATTCGGGCCCTGAGGGCGTCGGGTTCGCATTGCCAAATGTCTTTCTAGTGTCACTGCTCGCGTGCAAGGTCACTGTTTGTCACTTTGTGTTAGCGGTCGTTTAGTTGGGGCCGATATGGCACGGCACGACTGGAGTCCGTGCTGTTGGCACCAGAGATTGTGAACAACAGTTCTGTCAGTGTCCTCTGTTATCACGACTGGTAGGGACTTCCTCTGGGCTGCAATGCGCACTGAGCAGGGGCGCGGATCGGGGAGGATCCTGACAGAGCAGCTATATTTAACTCTTCCCCTCCGGCTGCGCAGCACTTGCGGGCAGTGGGGCAGACGTGAGACGGGGTCCCTGACAGGGTAGTTATACCCCCCCCCCCTGCTGTGTAGCTTGCAGGGGAGCCGGTGACCCCTGGCAGCGCATCTGTGACCCTGGCAGCGCAGCGCTGGCAGGCCCCTCCTTCGTCACTTCAGCGATATGTGTCTGCACGCTGCAGACATGTTCGCAAAACTCGAGCGCCGCGGCGTGACTGGGCGTCGAAGGGGGAAAACATGGCAGTAATGCATGTCAAAAACCTCGCCTGCAGCTGCGTAGAACTGTGGCTTGTGATGGCTGGGTGCTGTGTCGGACATTTTCTCCATCCGGGACTACCGGGATATCCCTGCGGTCTGGAAACCGGAGGCAGTCCTTTGATACGAAGGAGCTGTGACCATGATGTCATTCGAGCTGGTGTCGTGGTTTTAGCAAACATGTTTGATATCATCGGACCTTATCTGTTCCGCGGGTTCCATATGGTCCTGGACCGAGTCATCTCAGACTGAGTTCAGCCGAGTCTGGTATCAGAGTCAGCCTGCTGATCCTCAGTGGCCTGACTCCGAGTCTGGTATCAGAGTCGGTCTGCTGATCCTCAGTGGCCCGACTCCGGGTCTGGTATCAGAGTCAGCCTGCTGATCCTCAGTGGCCCGACTCCGGGTCTGGAATAATCAGTCTGAGTCTGCTGGTCGCTGACCACCCCCAGCGGCCAGAGTCAGGTATCAGAGTCAGTCTGCTGATCGCTGACGGCCTCCAATGGCCGGAGCTTGGTATCAGAGTCAGCTGATCTTCAGTGGACCCACTCCGAGTCTGGCATCCGAGTCAGTCTGCTGATCCTCAGTGGCCCGACTCCGGGTCTGGAATAATCAGTCTGAGTCTGCTGGTCGGCCCCCAGTGGCCGGAGTCTGGTATCAGAGTCTGTCTGCTGATCGCTGACGGCCTTTAATGGCCGGAGCCTGGTATCAGAGTCAGCCCGCTGATCGCTGACGGCCCCCGGTGGCCCTGACGCCGTCTGGTCGGCGTATCGCCGAGACCAAAGTCCGTCCGGGTGCGTCGCTCGCGCTGCCGAAGGCCGCGACGCTGGGACAGTGCCAGATAAACTCAGATCATCAATCAGCATATTGCCTGGCTCGGACTGAATGGAGCTGAACTGAACGCTGCTCGGTGAGCCAGCACTTGCACTTTGAGCTGGGATTGGCACGCCGATGGTTGGTTCTGGTAAAGACAAAGGGCTCCCGAGTAAAAGTAGTTGCACCAAATGCGTTGACCTCAGTGTATTTCGAGTGCTATGGGTCCTGACTACCACATTGTTATCCAATGTACATACAATTCGTTGGCTTACATAGAGTGAGGTGGTAGAAGTCTTAGCTCTGCTCTGAATTGCACGCAAAGCGTCAGCATGAATTGCATGAGCCACGGGGCCTTATATGGTAAGCTATGCATATCGTGGCCACTCTGTATTGTTTACTGCAGCGCTGCGACCTATGTTTTAGTCAATTCGGCGTTCGGGGGCTAGTATACGTCCGGATGACCATTCAGCCAAGGCCGCTTCGCGTATCCGAGAGGGTCGGTACAACTCGATGGATCCCAGATACCTCTCCGAGGGATCTCTGTGGATTCCGGAGACCTTTCTTGAGACGGTGCATCCCGGACTCCCGTCCGAGCGGTCACCGGGTCTGCACGGCCCGCGGGACATCGCGAACGGGACCGGTCGCTACTGCGTCTACCCTGAACCCGCTCCTATTGTGTCCTCGCCGAGCTAGCTCATCCTCCGGCAGCGTCCTCGTATTCCGCTCGTCTTCGAGCAGCGTCCTCGCGGTATCCTCGTCCTCCGGGGATGTCCTCGCGGTACCAGACGTCCTCCTGTACCCTGCAGTCTTGGCGCCCTCGTGCCACCATGTCACGGCCATCGCTGCGCCCCCCGTCGGTTCACTACCGGCCGCACCCGAGTACCTACCACTCACCGACCGGTCAAACGGGTCGGACCGGTGACATTTTGCGACCGTGGCGGCAGCGGCCCGTCCGCCGCTGCCCGCCCGACAGGTCCCGGCGGAGGCCGTATAGTATGACGTCAGAGGGTAGAGACCCACGCCGGAAGGCTCTACGGGCCTACCGCAGGTATGCTGAGTGTGCTGCTCCTCACTCGCTGCAACCTTGACAGATAAGGCTTGACAACCTTGACTTGACAGATGACAGATGCCGTACCGCTTGCAGGATCGATACCAGCTGAAAAAAATGTGATCCGTCTACGTTTCAGCAGGATTGGTATCCGTAAAGTATGACGTTCCCGAAGGTAGTCGTTCTTTGCACGCCCATTGTTCAGCTCCTTTCCTAGCCCGTGTGCATGTTCATTGGTAGCCATCGCCAACGTTATTCGAGGAAATGGACAAGGCCTTGCTGTCCTACAGGCGGAAGTGAAGACTTAGGCGGATTTTTTCCTCATTTTTGGACCCATCGACGTTTAGCTATAGCAGCTGTGTGCGATATATGAGAAAAATGCATGGTATTGCATTTCATATTAAATCGATTATATTAATATGAAATTAACCTTCGCCCTGGCAGGGGGGGGAGTCGATGCGACCCCCCCCCCTAAGGTTTTTCGAAGATAGTGTAAAAACGGAAATTTGGCACAGCCTATGGGGCAACCTTTTTACATATGACCTGAAAATTTCAGGTCCGGGTGACCTTGGGTCAGGTCACCAGGTCAGAAAAACCGGTACAAGGTCATGGTCAAATTTCAATTTTATTTTTGCACCTGTCCAACTCACAGTTTTTGACTGTTTCCTTCAAATTTTCAGGATGTGCTAAGTTCACCGAGTTGTATGACATATAGTTCGGGTTTTTGAGGTCACTGACCTGAGGTCAGTTAGAGGTCATTACGTCGTAATGTTAAGCCTATGGGAAAATACTAAATTCGGAAAATACTGGAGGTATCCGCTTCGTTCTATCACTTTTGTGCTTTGAAACCACAGTACTAAGCAGCAGGTCACTTGGTGCTTTTTTGTTTTGTGTACTTATCCATGGGCCAGGTCAAATGAGGTCAACTGAGGTCAAATGACGTTTTTGCCAATAACTTGGCGCATAATGACGCTAGAGCTTAACCCGCGCGGGGCTGGGGGGGGTAAATTTTACCCCCCCTCGCGAATTTTTGCGATATCTCAAAAACGGCGGCGCGCAGCGCCGCCAAACTTTCAGTACCTTTTCTTACATCAATTTGACACGTTCCCTGAAAATTTGAGCGAAATCCGTCGGAAATTTTTTGAGAAATTGACGTTTTAGTGACGTCATGTTCGCCATTTTCGCCTCAAAAACGGCAAAAGTTCAAACGCCGCTAACATCTTCATTTGTAAAGAAATCAAGACGTAACAAAAAAGGTTATACGTAATTTTACTTTGTCTATCAAATGGCTATCTCGGTTTTTTGAAAATTTTGGATTTTGGCCTAAATTTTTTCAAAAAACTGACTTTTTTGGGAAAATCATTATAAAATCCAAAATTTTGAGTCTATCGAAAAAACCGGAATATATGTCATAGAAGTGGTCTATGTGCACCTACATACCAAATTTTAGAAGAATCGGTTCAAAAATGTGGGAGTTATTCAAAATTTTATGACGTCACGACACACAATTTTTTTGAAAAATGACTTTTTTGGAAGTTCTAGACCTCGTACGGAAACAAAAATAGCACCATTCGATTCGCCGTGAAAAACTGCATCAGATAGACACCTTTTTAGGCCTTAACAACCAACTTCAAAATTTGACCTCACTTGACCTGACCTTGACCTGACCTCGACCTGAAATTCATCCTGAGGTGGTCCATATCACTTATTGAGTGTGCCTATTGAATTCTATGAGTAAAATGACCCATAAAACATGTGTCGCACATGCCCTTTTCTATATTTTGCTTTTTGGTGACCTGACCTGACCTGACCTGACCTTGACCTTGACCTCTGAATGATATTGTATGCAACGAATATTGTCTTGGTAGCCTAAGAACACGTTTTGGGCGATCAGTCTCAGTCCATGACTCCATTCTTCGGCAACTACGGTGCAAGGCCGATACTGTAGAAACTTGCAATTTGTACCCTTGACCTGACCTTGACCTTGACCTCAAACTTTAAATTAAGTACATGTTTTTAGTAGTTCGTGATGAGAGCTTTCGATTGGCGCTTGAATGTTCCAAATCCGACCATTAGTTCGGGAGATAACAGGGGGGGTAAAATTTACCCCCCCCCCCCCAGCCCCGCGCGTTCGGCTGGAGACCCCAGCCCCGCGCGGGTTAACAAATGGTGTCATTGTGTTCCTGGTGATCAGCCGAATCGAAAGATATGTAATATGATGCAATTTGGTTGACTTGAACTTAATTAATTAAGTTCAGTTTACTTAAAAATTAAGAAAAACTTTACGTACACTTAAGCAAGCTAAAAAGTATATCATTCGACGCGCCTTGACGTGCTGAGTTCACTGGTGCTTTCTTTTTGCTCTATCTTATTTAGATCAAAAGTTATAAGCGAAAAACTTTTGACCTGTTTTTAGCAGAATTTTTACATTTATACCCCCCCCCCCAAAAAAACCCTAAATATTGACCTAGAGCAACCAAATTTGCACAGGGGCGAGAACTCCAGGGGGCCCACCTACCTACCAAATTTGGTGTTTCTAGGTGCCATAGGAGCCAATCGCGAGGGGGGGGGGTCGCATAGACCCCCCCCCTGCCAGGCCGTGTTATGAAAAATGCCCTGCCAGGGCGAGGGTTAAATTGTTCATCGAGTGAACGGACGACCTCAGCTGCTACCCCCGCCGAGCCATTGTCATTCATGGCTATTCACTAGTCCGCTGCTTTATGTTCCACTGAGGGCTGAAGGTCATCAGCTCCACACGGAAACCATTGTCTGTTGCAGTCGTGCCTGGCTCCATCTGATGACGCGACATTGAGCCGATCTAACCTTTGTGGGAGTACCCGTTCCCTTCCTGATCCTATCTGGCCTTTACTCGCTGTCACAGGACCTGCAAGGACCAGCGTGTCACCCGTCATATTATAGCTCTGCATAGTGTTCTCTATCGTTTGACCTGGCGTGACCCGGCCCGGCAGGAGACGTGTTCACTTTCAGTCCTTTGACCTGACCTGATCCGCCCCAGCAGGAGTCGCATTCGGTTATTTGACCTGTCGTGACCTGGCCTGGTAGGAGACGTCCCCTTTTATTTGACCTGGCGTGTCATTTGACCCACTTCTCCGGCCCGCAGGAGAAGCGTTCAGTCATTTGACCTGGTGTGACCTGACCCGGCCGTCGTCACGAATCGTGTTTAGTGTTTTGCCCTATTGTGATCCAGCTCGTCAGGAAACGTTTTCAGTCATTTAGCTTGACGTGATCTGACCTGACCCGGCCTGCAGGTAACGAGGAGACGGTGCGCCAGATCCGCGCCGCCGGCGGCGAGGCCCACGCCTACACCTGCGACCTGTCCAACCGGGAGGTCATCTACAAGACGGCCGAGCGGGTCAAACGCGAGGTCGGAAAGGTGAGAGCTGCTCACAGGGGTGAGATAGGTGAGAGCTTCCCGTGAGATCACGTGAATGAGCTAGCTCCCAAGCGATATCGGGTAGGTGTGAGTTAGAGCCTCCCCTCAGGGGTCAAAGGTGAGGTGAGAAAGCCAGGCATCATATGGGGTCGACCGTCGAAGACTAGGTCAGATAGGTGAGCGCTCCCAACGAGGTGAGGTAGGTAAGCGATAACTCACCCTCAGGGATCAGATGCGAGGTCAGATGGCTGAGACTGCCTTCATGGTCTAAACGTGAGGCCGGGTAGGGGATAGATTATCCCGTTACGGCTCGCGCTGGGGTCGGGAAAGGGAAATCCTCCCAAAAGCGACTCGAATGGTTTGGAAGATGAGAAGCGGTTACGGCTGTCTATAGATACTCTTCAGCTGTGGATCGGAGAGACACGAGCTCCTCACATTGACCAAAGCCGACCATACCACCCACGTTGTGTGTCTCTGAGACGCGGCGGCCGGACGAGCTCTGTTTACTCGACTCCCGCGCAGGGCTGACGAGGCAGGACAGTCTGTGTCGCTCTTGGTCCCATTCCAAAAACAGACTGCGTGCTGGTCGCCGTCGAGCCTCACTAGTTTCAGTGGGTTTTGAGAGCTCCGAAGCCACCGTGCTCGATATTAGACCTGATACTTTGAAGCTAAGATGCTCTTGATCTCACTCGGGGTCGATGTCAAGAAAACAGTGCGTGTCTTTTATAACTCACAAATTATAACTAGTGCCTTATGATTATCCTCCCCCATGACAACACAACACCAATGGAGCAGAAAAAAAAATGTTCCCTGACCATGGGATATCCTTTTGACCAGAAAGGTCATCCTTTCTGTTTTGAACATACAATGTGCTCCTATAAGCATGTTGGCTACGTATTGCATACCTACCATCCCGTCTAAGTTTATCACTGACGTTTTTCGTCAGGTATGGCCCCATAAACATCTTAAAAGCAATGTGAAAACAACTGATGTATTTATACAGGTGCTGGCCGAAATGCATGACTGTTCACTCGCTCAGCTACTGCGAGCTCTGAATAATTTAGCCATGCAAATCGCACCAGTGTCTGGTCAGTGGTCAGGCCAGTCATCCTCCATTTAACAGCTTCGTGCCGATCACGGCCTCCAAACGCGGCCACCGGATACACATTTTCTCCCTCCGTATTTGTCCTGCCGCGATCCGCGATGCTCGGGGTGTCCCCGGCTTCACGGTAGATAGATATTCTGTCCCCGACACGTGTGACGCCGCGGGGACAGTGCGCACTGCGCAGTGCCCTCTGTCGTCCGCCCGGTCCTCCGTCTGAGACGGCACGCCGGGCGCGGTGCTGCCGCCTGGCGCCGCTCAGTCGTAGGTGCCGCAGACGGGTCCGAACCGCACGAACTCGTAGGCAGTGCACAGGGCGTCCCGCAGCCGGTACGTCTCCGCCGCGTTGATGGTCTCGGCCACCACCTTGACCTCGACGCTGTAGATGTCGTTGCGGATCCAGGCGCGCTCGTGCATGATGTCCTTGATGCTGACGCCGAGTTTGGCGAGGAGTCGAGTCAGCTCGGCGATCCCGCCGGGCCGGTCGCTGACCGTGACGGTGAACTTGCAGAGGCGTCCCTCGGCGGCCAGGCCGCGCTCCAGGCACCTGCCCAGGATGGTGGTGTCGATGTTGCCGCCGCACAGCGGCACCACCACGCGCTTGCCGCGCAGCTCGGGCAGCGCGCCGGACAGGATGGCGGCCAGGCCGCACGCGCCGGCACCCTCCACCATGGCCTTTTCGACCTCGACCAGGCGCAGGATGCTGATGGCGATCTGCTCCTCGGACACCTGCACCATCTTGTCGATGAGCGGCGCGGCGGTGGCGAAGGCGTTGACGCCGACCAGCGGCACGGCCAGGCCGTCGGCGAGGGTCGAGTGGCAGCGCGTGTGTACGGGACTGCCGTGCTCCACCGCCGCTGAGAAGGAGGCACACTTCTCCGACTCCACCCCGATTACCAGCACGTTGGGGTTGAGCGACTTCACTGCGAGCGCCACGCCTGCGATGAGTCCGCCGCCGCCGACGGGCACCACCACGGCGTCCAGGTTCGACACCTGCTCCATCATCTCCAGGCCCATGGTGCCCTGGCCGGCCAGGATGTTTGGGTGGTCGTAGCCGTTGATGTACATCATGCCGTCCTCCTTGGCCATGGTCATGGCGATCTCCTTGGACTGGGCCAGGTCGTCGCCGCGCACGATCACGTTGGCGCCGAAGTTGCGGCACGATTGGACCTTCATGATGGGCGCGATGATCTGTGGACAGAGGTCAGCGATCAGATCTGACCGGCCAGTGGACCGTGACGTTATCGGGCTCATGGTGGTGATGTCGGACGAAGTTAAGACGAATCGGACGAAGTTAAAGGGACCCTCCCACCTTAACATTAGATTTGAGTTGAGATAGCCAAAATGGGGTCCCTGGCTCACAATTACCGGTTTCGGCACTCACAACATCGAGAAATGCCTTAAATCGGAAACATTGAATTTCAAAATTGCAGCATTTTGGTTCAGAGGGGCTAATGCTTAGGAATACCCCTCTGAATGTGTGACGTCAGCGCAAATATCTAACGATTTTTAAATGTTTGACTAAAACGTTTTGTAGCACGCGGTAGTATATGCTATTTGCGCGCAACATCTGCCGCAAACGCCGCACTTCTAAAATAAAGTCGCTAGAAACAGCGGAGATCAAAAAAAGTAAACAAAAATAAAAGTCTAATATCTTGAAAACCGGTGAATATTTTTCGGTGAAATTTGGTAGATATTCGTTTTCGCTCTTTCTGAACCGAGCGACATCACTTTCATGCCAATTCATAAACTTTTTTGAAGGTGGGAGGGTCCCTTTAAGTAAACTACGGTAAACGATGTCAAAGCTAAGCCGCGAGCTCGTCAGATAGTCAACGAATCAGTTGAAAAGGAACTGTCACCATCTAATATCCTTAATCAGTCAATCAGGATATTTGTCTACTTAGCATCCTCTGTTTTCAACATTTTGAAACATTATCAAGCTTCATCATCTGCTTTTAGCATGCCTTCTACATTTTCTGCTTCTGAACATAACATACGTGCGCTCGCCTCGTTTTCCCCACTATCCCTCCCTATCATAGCTCATATCTGTGGACATCACTACGTCTACCCCATCTCCTTCTCCCCGTACGTACTGGCATGACGACGGTGACGCTGACGCCCAGCTCCCGGCCGTGGTAACAGAGTGCCAGCGCGTGATTGCCGGCCGAGGCGGCCACGACGCCCGCCTTCCGCTGGTCCGCCGTCAGCATCATCAGTGTGTAGCGCGCGCCGCGCTCCTTGAAGCTCCCCGTGTACTGCATGTAGTCCTTCTTGAAGAACAGCTGCATGTTGCACTCCTCGGAGATGTAGGAGCGCGTGCACGGCGTGGACATGATGCCCGATTTGATCTTGTAGGCGGCCTCGCAGACGTCCTGGAAGTGTAGTGTGCGCGGGTTGGCCGGGTCGCACCACGGGTCGAACATGACGGTGTTGTCGGCGATCCGCTGGCTGGGCTGGCGGCGCCGCGGCAGCTCGGGAGAGCTGTCCGAGCCGGACACGTAGGGCACGCTGTCGGCTGGCAGGCTCAGCTGCGCCATCTCCGAGGTGGCCACGAAGTACTTGTCCGGGTAGGAGCTGGCCACGCTGCCATTGGTGATAGGGTCGGTCTTCTGCGGCACGGCTATGGACGGCGTCGGGATGCCGTTGCAGTCTGCTGCCGGCGCGGTGGGGTCGGCGATCGGCGGGGCCATCTCAGTCCCGAGTTTGATTCAGAGAGAAACTCCTGCCCCCGCGACAGACGCTGTACTGGAGAGGGACCAGTGACCACTTCTGATGGGGGACGGTCCGCTGCTGGTCACTTGCCCACCAGACACGAGAGGCTCGGATGTTACTCGGAGCGACGTGGCACCAACACTGACCGGCGGCCGGCGGCTGGCCTGGCTCTAAGGCCCGGCACCGTGTCACCAGACGTCCCTCTCCGCACCCCTCCCTGCTCGCGCAGGCCACTATTCAGGCCGACCTTCGGCGTCCGAGAACGCCACTGCCTAACGAGTGTTGGCAGCATGTGCGCACCTCGCGGCGTGTCACGTGCCTGGCGCGCTGTCGGACTGTCCCGGGTCGTCCATCCCGGCCCCGGGCGCCGTCACTATCATCCCGCCCCCAGCAGTGACCTACCCTGACCGATGCGCCCCATACGCCGCGGTCAGTAGTGCTGGCCCGTCCCCAGTCCTTGCGCACTTTCCCCTCGCCCCGTCATCTGGCGTTTCTCTGATACAGACCGTCTGCAAGCGGGTGCGTGTGATATATGTGTTTATGTGATGCGCGCCAACTCTCGCCAGTTATGACCAGAGCTGCCACTTCCAGCTTGCGTGAAAACCATCCAGTTATGTCTGTATTCATCCCTAAATGTTGACGCGTAGCACGATTTTTTTTGCTTTTTATGTTCGCAGTCACTCAAGCATGAAAATATTTGCAGCTATACTGCGCCTTACGGCCAGCGCGGTGCGAGTGAACTTAGACAAACTTTGAAAAGAGGCGACCAGAAGGGCGCGAAGTGAAAGGGGCGGAGTGAAAATTAAGAATCAAACTAGCGAACTTATGCCCCTAATATTAAATATTTAGCGTTGAAATCACTGCTGTCTCGATAACTCGTGAGCCCAGCAAATTACCTGCTAAACAGCGCATTCAATAAACTCCATGTTAACGCTACTCAGCATAATGATTTTGGTCCTTCCAGATTCGGTAGGACGTGACACGGAATGTCAAATTCGCATCTCCACATGGCTGATACATGTCACCGTGTAGTTATTTGGCCTCTGACCGTCAGCAGCGGGCCAATCCTGGAAAACCGTTCCACTCTGCGAAACCCGATCAGCCGGCCACTGCAGTGTGCGAAGTGCAACTGAGTTGGACCCTACGTCCTTCACCTCGGTCGCTGTGGAGATGGGACTGGGCCGGGCCGAGATGACCCGTAATCTCGACAACTTTGGGGGATCACTCCTCTGCTGAACGAAGCCGGCCCATGTTACCGGGCGGGTCCGTCGGGTTCGCCAGACCAGACACACGGGGAGCGGGGCCGGCAGGGCCGCGTGACATAACCGGCGTATCCTCTCGCCGGCTGTTTTTGTGCTGGTTCTCCCGCGACAGTGGCTGGTGCCAAGTGGCGGCTGGCGGCGGCTGATAGCTCGGGTCCGTCTAAATAGAACTGACCTCGAGGGTCAGACCGACAGAGTGACAGAGCGAGGACAGACCCGGCAGACGCGGCAGTGGCGAGCTGACAGCTGACCCGGTCTGGGCTGCCCTGACCCACCCCTGACCTGACTCGTCCTGACCTGCCCTAATACTGACCCAAGCGGTCCCATCCTATACGATCGATGTAAAAAAGTGAATGGCTCGAGTCACGCTCTGAACGAGGTTACGAGCAAAGTCACCGTTTTGGTCAGGGCTCGGGTCAGGTGTGGCCTGTGGGTCACCTGATCTACATTGAGAAGTCAGAAGGACCATGTGACCCCCTCTGGCACTGTCAGGGTGCCAAGGTCAATCCGTGGAAACGTACGCAGTGGACTGACAGCATCTCGGCCGTGATTGGTCCGCTCCAGGGGTGTGTCTGATGACGTCAGCCGCCGCCGGCTGCCCAGGCCTGGACTCGAGCCATCAGCCACTTATGTAATTATCGTAAATTGTCGTCTATCAACTGAGCTTGGAAGGCATCGACTGAATGAAGGATACTACCGACGTTTCCTGAGAACGTTTTTATAAGTGCGTAAACTTTGATTTTGCTTAGATACGCGTATACCTACTGGCCAAATAAAAAAGTGAATGTTATGTTAGGCTGTTGCTGCATTTCATGAACCCTCGGCATTCGGTCACGTAAGTGTAAAACGGTCGGTCACGTCATGTAAAAGCCGCTGTTGGTATTTCCACCGCTCGCTCCCCGCTCTACTATATCCGCCACAGCTGCGAGCTGCCTGATAAGTAGACACAGCTGTATCCGCCACGCGGGGGCCGCTCCGCACGCTCGTCCCGCCATGAACGATCGAGACTGACATTGAAGGGCTGGTGGACAAAGGCCAAATGAGTACAGTAGAACCGTGGATGCAGGCTCGACCAAAGCTGACGTTGCCGGAGAAGGCTAGGCCAGGGCTGATGATGTAGGGTCAGACAAGGTTAGGTCAGGTCAGCCCGGCGGGATCAGGTCGTTCATGTGCCAATGTCTCCTGTACTTGTGTAAATGTGGTGCGTCGATAGGCTGTCACCGTAGGTCCTCATCTGTGCCATCCGGTACATACGCGTCTGGCAGGTTCTGGTCTGGCCAACAGACCAGTGTTCGCAATGGGCCGCAAAATCCCAGTCCAGCCCAGCACAGGCCCATGGGTTCACAGCCCGGCCCAGCCCGAGCCCATTCACGGTAAAAGCGTCAAAGCCCAGCCGGCCCAGTCCGTCAAAAATGAATGAATTAAAAATTATTGACACCACACAGTCATCCAAAGGTAGCAAAGAAAGAATCTTTTGTGAGCAGCATGCACAATGTACATTGCATATGCGTGCTTTATTATCTCGTTTTTGAGTCTTGCACAGTAATAAGCTATTTAGTTATAGATTTTGTCTCTGTTGCGAACCCCTGTCTCCACTTTACCGTTCTTGGCCCAGCCCATCCACAGCCCATCGATCCTTCATATTTGAGGGCCCAGCCCAGCCCGTAGCCCAGCCCAGCTCATGGCCCATTGGGCTGGCCCGGCCCATGGCGAACACTGCAACAGACCACCAGGTCGGGCCGGGAAACCAGCAACGCACCATCTGCGCACGTGCTCGGCTGCGGTCACGGCACGGGTGACACGAACTCCGTGCGGGGCGCGACACGGATGGCACGGACGGCGTCCCACGGTCAGTCAGGGCTCCTCCGCGACTGCTCAGCCGCTTTAGTGATGCGGAGATGCCCACAGATCAGCGGCGAAATCCTGTGTTAGCATAGGCATCCACTGCGTCAGCACTACAAACATCAGCTCATAGCATAGTCATTAGAACAAACATGCTGGCAGTTGCCTATACGAGGCCACGTGCATGGGTCCGGTAACGAATGCACTGCTTATGTCCCAGCCATGTGCAGTGCACTGTATGGAAAACACATAGGTACCCACTCGCTCAGCAGAAGAGCAGTCACTCGTCGGTACTCCGGGACTCCACCCTTTGGTTTTTCCCGTATCTTTTCGTCATCTAGTTAATATTTATCAAAATCTCCTTCAGCAGCTTCTCCCGACCGATGACAAATCCCGGTAGACATATATTATTGACCTCTTTTGACCTCGTTTGACCTTATTGGACCTCGTGTGACCTTAGTTGACCTCATTGACCTTAGTTGACCTCGTTTGACCTTTGTTGATCTGGTTTGACCTTTGTTGACCTCGTTTGACCTCGTGTGATCTCGCTTGACCTCATTTGACCTCGGTTGACCTTGTCCAGGTGACCATTCTGGTGAACAACGCCGGCATGGTGACGGGGAAGCCACTGCTGGACATCCCCGACAACCTGATCGAGAAGACCTTCGAGGTCAACACGCTGGCACACTTCTGGGTAAGTCGGCGCGCCGTCCACCTGTCCGCTGTGGTTTGTGATTGAATAGGTTACTTTTGATGGTCACAAGGTGAGTGCTTAGAGTGCTCTGTGTTGAGCTTGGTGAAACTTGTCCAATTTAGTACCGTACTATTTATGATTTTTTTTCTGTTCAAAACGTTATACCACTATATTGCCGACACTCGACAGTTGCTAATCTATTATCACTTATAATTTGTACCTATAAACAATAGTTAAACCTGTTCACATGTCAAACATGTACAGTCACCTGTACAGCATGCTGTAGGAAGTAGGAATGTAGTTGCTAGTATTAACTGTTATTGTCATCTTAGTACGTCCACTTGTGTTTTATATATGATTTAAGTGTCTTTTATATATTGTGTCTTTTACCGGTTTAATGTCTTCTGCCCATATTGTTGAAGCGAGCACATGAAAAACCAGTAATTATCTGGATGAGCTTTAATTATATTTTGATTCTGATTCTGATAGTCGGACATGATTCAGTCTCGGCAACGCCCTATTCTTATTACATCTGACTCGAAAAATTTGAGTGTCGTGGCCGTATCGCGCTATCGCGGGTAGACGCCCAGTCTGGTTCTCAATCTCATCTGAAGTGGATCACCAGAGGCCTCATGTGACATTTTCAAATATGTGGGATGGACACTCGAGACCCTATCAGCACCACGCTAAGCCGCTCACATGAGATGTCATTCATGGATTAGCTGTCTCGTGTACCTAAAGCTACTCGTTAAAGCGTCTTCGTTTGGTTATAGTTGGCGAGAACCGTTACTGAATTGTTGTGCGATATTGACTGAATTTACTTTCATGAATGGCAAAAGAGACGGGGGACCAGTAGCCAAACTGTCGTGTTAAATCACATTTTTATACCAACTTACGCTACTCTGACCAAGCGGACCTTCGAATAACTGTATTTCCTGTTCCTAGATGTCGCTAGTAGTTCAGCGCCTAAAAGCATGCTGTGCCGCAATGACTGACCGGATTCTGGCCTTTTTACGGACGCTGTTCCAACTGCACCATGCCACTGCCGGGGCTGCCTATGACCTCCGCTGACCCCTGCTGACCTCCGCTGACCTCTGCTGACCCCACTGACCTCTGCTGACCCTCCACCCCGCCCTGCAGACGTGCAAGGCGTTCCTGCCGGACATGATGATCGCCAAGAAGGGTCACGTGGTGAACATCGCCAGTCTGGCCGGCCTGCAGGGCATGGGCCGCCTCACCGACTACTGCGCCTCAAAGTTCGCCGCCGTCGGCTTCCACGAGTCCCTCACCGTCGAACTGAAGGTAATAAGCTACCTAATTATCTTTGGCCTCGGAGTTCAATAATTAAATTAAACTTTCCCAAAATAACTTTGAGATAGGTATGTTGCAGTCGCTTTGTTAAAAAATAAATGCGCTGACTTTTAGTTATACCTACAAATACAAACAGAAAGATCATTATTGAATCGCATTTATGAAATGTCTTATGGCATGCGTCTAAATCTATTTTAAGCACGAGCAAAGCCGATTAATTATCGCGCTGGGCCATTTGCAAACAGATTGTTTGAACAATGCCAATATCGCGTATCTGATTTATTTGCTCTTTCCATGTCGGTGGGGCGCTGTATCTTATCGTTGCCCCGGCCGTGTCACCCTGTCGCCCCGTATCAGAGCGGCCCCGGCTCGCTCGGCGTGACCGTCTCTGTTTACATTGCCGATGTGCAGCGCTCCCCGGCCCCAGCCCTCCGGCCTCTAATCCTCGGTCTCATCCGCTCATCCCCACACTTCAGCCTCCATCCCCGCCCCAAACTCTCAGCCCCTGCAGCCCCAGCCTCTCAGCCCCTGGCCCAGCCAGTCTGTGGATAGCCACTTCCGAGTGCTGTTTGCAATGGCGAATGGCGATATTTCACAATCAGCTATCGGTGCTGTTCGCGTACCCTGCACCTTCCGGCTCTGACCTACACCTGCGTGCCCCAGGTCGGAGGTCACGAGGGCGTGAAGACGACCGTCATCTGCCCGTTCTTCATCAACACGGGCATGTTTGATGGCGCCAAGTCCAAGTGAGTGAGCCGTGTCCGTCCCCTTTGAGACCGTATACGGGCACTGCTAGCTCACAAGACTCTGGAGTGCTTCGTGTCAGCACCTAGCAGCTGTAAATGGCGACACTGGCTTATGCGTGCTGAGTCATTATCCCAGCTGTGACTGGCGCTTTGCAGGCTGACTCACGCTCTGACGCGCCGGATCACGCCAGTGTTTTTCCCTGAGAAAGTATTGGGGGTTTCCATGGGAAGTGTGGGAAATGAGTGTTTCTCCGGGATAGTTTGATTGGAGCAGAGTGTTTCCCTGCGAGTTTCTGATGGATTAAATTGGTGACCCGAGTCACGAGGGCCCACTGTCAGGTAAACACGTCACATTTTCTGCAGCTGGGTACGGTAATCGCAGTTGTTAAATGGCGTGCCCTGGTCAATGTTTCAGCATCATCCCGTTCTTGGAGCCCGAGTACGTGGCAGAGCGGATAGAGCAGGCCATTCTGCTGAACGAGGAGCAGGTCCTCATCCCCGGCTATCTGGCGGCGCTCTTCTACCTCAAACTGTGAGTATACGGCTACCGAACTAAGCAGCCGCCCTGCCTGAGCACTGAGCAGTGACCTGACCTCACGTGTAACGGACGCGGCACACCGCAAGCCTTGGGGAAGCACCGGCCCGCAATTCGTGGGAAGGCTCTAGCCTGCCGTGCGCGCTCGTTCACAGTTCACAGGGCGACCGGTCGAGTCTGGCGGCCGTCCCGCTCGAGCGGTGACCGCGGCCCCTTCACCCGGTGCTGGCGCGGCGGAGCATCCCGCCTCCGCTCGTTGTGGTCCCTGCAGTGGCTGCGGAATGTGCGAGGTCGCGGCTGCCGCCGACTCTGTGCCAGCTCTGTGTTGGGTGGTAATGGTGCCGCTACAGTAGACCGAGTGCGCATGACTGTATATAACGATGCTCTGTTATGAAGTGTGCTATGTGGCTCGGGTCAGAAGGTGTTGCGCCAATGACCTTTACAGTGTCTCTTCCCGGTTTGGACTTCACCCCTGCTGCTTCCCCAGGATTCGGAGACGGAAGAAGTCTCTCAGTCATATAAATACTTGCTGGCAGAGCGTCTATCCTTTCATGCACAGGGAACCTATAGGCTATAGCCTACCCTACAGGCAATGCATAGGCGCTATAGCAGACGTACGACACTCGACTAGGTAGCTTTGCTTGTCCCGACTTGACTATCAGAGGTCCTTCCCTCCCATTTCTCCCACGTGGGATGAACCGGGACCGGAATGATGCACGTCGCTGTGGGTTTTATGTGGGATAAGGGCGCCCTCCCCCATCCCGGAGAAGCAGCATGGGTAGGTACGCCTTCCACCCCGACTCCCCTCGCTCCCTGCTGACCGGGCCGCTGCGCCAGGGCCATGCCTTGGCGCGCCTTCTGGACGCTGGGGCTGGCCTTCAAGGTGGAGCGCGCTATGGACACGTTCACCGGCCGAACCAAGCAGGCGTAGTGGGGCGGTGGGGCCCGCCGCCGCCGCCGCCTGTCGCGCCTCCCTCCAGGTGGGATCGTCGGGCCGACTTGAGAGGAACACGCACCACGTGCATGAGCTGTTCACAGCGTCCAATCTTGCAACAGGTCGAACATGCCTGCACCGGCTAATGCTGCCTTATTGTGTCGGGCCGTCCGTGCCGTATACTTCCTGCTTGTACCGCCTACATGCTGGCTGAGCTGATTGTACCGTGCCGTCTTGTCTGCTTGATCGCTCGAGAAGCCTGCCGCCTTTAGGTACGCTCTTTGTGCTGTTTGCATGCGTCCTCTACTTTGTGCGTGCTTGTTCCTCTTCATCTGGGTTGTACACCGGGATTGCATGATGACAATCTTCATCGCATTGCTTGGATTGGCCGCTTGTCTTGAAGTTGGGTTGTATCATGTCTTCACCGTACAGACAATCGAATGCACCTGGATCGTGCATCATGACATCGTGAACGTTGCCCTCGCCATCTCCCTGGATAACTCCGCAAGGCACATCATAACCTTACTTTCAAGACATCCCTCAAGCTTATCAAAACCGCATGTCGATGCGATAAATAACTCAACTCTAATGGGTGGAAATCGGAGAGACAATGGGTTACCAACCGTTCACTTCAGGGACCCGAGACGTTCCGTAATCTGTATTCCACCCCCCCCCCCTTCCCTCTTCAGCTATAGCCTATAGGTCTGTTTGAAATCGCACCCACCACCGAGAGTTTGTGTCCGCCCGTCCCGTCGTGAACGTCCCGTCTCCCTCTCCCTACACTACGAGTATTCCCTCTTCTCTGCAACTACCTTCTCCCTACAAACGTTTATCTGCCGAGTTTGATGCAGGCGGCCAGCATTCTCCCCTGCTTTCGCGAAAATAAGCGTAGAGTCTACCTCAGTTGCACGGTTAATTATCCGTACCCAAGTGCAGGATAATTGCCAGCTTTCATCCTCATGCCATCATTTCGAGCGAGCGCCATGTGCAGACTCGCAGCGAGCGGTGCCCATCCACCCTCCCCGGAGGCAGGTTTGTGCAGACTGCATATATGGACATGGGGACAGGAAGACACGCACCCAGTTGTACTGTTTAGCATGTAAATGGCCGAGAAGCGCCCATGAGTGGCGTACTTTGGTAGTGCTTGAAGTTTATAAATGGATTCAACCATTCAACTAGCCCTAAAGTCAGGCCAACGAATATGGCAAACGTTTCATCCCCCTCCCCCCATGCATATGTATGTAGTTTTCATTGCCAGCTGTGGAAGCATAACGATGCACATTAGTATACACTTATTGTGACTTGCCTTGGTCATTTTTGAGTTGAAGTGCATAAAGAAGCCTACCGTAGACTCTGGCATGGTCGTTCAGACCGGTTCCGCTCTCACCGCCCGTCTAACATCTGTGCCCCGCGCTGATGACAGGTCGCTGAACTATGCTGTTCTCTACGAGATCGGGAAACTGCTCCGACTGCACAACCCCATGGAGACTTTCCGCGGCCGTCAGCCACCCGTCACCAATGGAGTCACCAACGGAACTGCCAATGGCGGCACCAATGGAGTCACAAATGGTGTGACAAATGGCGTCACCAATGGTCACGCTAATGGCATCACCAGTGTTGCTGCAAACGGCTCCAGTAACGGCGTCACCCGTCACCGCCAAAACGGCTCAGCGGCGGAGGACCACTGACTGTGACACAGGGGAGCACTGGGATAGGAGACCTTTCGAGGTGTGACCCGAGGAACTTCAGCCGCGCTGCCTGTGACCCGGGGCGGGGTCGTGACAGCAGGGGATGGCGGCTGGCGAAGGACGAGCGAGTTCAGAGGAGGGAGAGCGGCGACAGGTCAGAGGCGGGCGCAGGTTGAGTCCACCAACCAGACGGGGGAGGGAGGGGAGGGGATCAGGGAACCATCCATGACACTGTGTAATTGCGCTTTGAAGGCCCGCTGCCCGATGTCCAGCCGCCTGGCTGGTATATGCGAGCTGAGATCGTGGGCTTCTAGGACAGTCATGTGGCCCACTGGCCTCCTGGGGCGTGGAATGCCGCTCGCTGGGACACAAATCGTGCCTATGGGGTGCAGCCAGAGGAGTGGCTGTGGCGATGGCACAAGTGCTGCCATCGGAAATTCGGGATAGGTAGAAGGGAGTGATCGGACCACAAATACGAAACCTCACTGGGGGTGATGAACGTGCCAATCCTGTTGATTATCTGGTGAGTGGTGACCACTGGGGACTCGGCATGCAATGAGGATGACACGAAATATATCGCTATGTATCGATTCGTTTTTGGTTCACAAGAGAAAAAGAAGCCATCCTTCTCGTGAGAATGCGAGTAATAATGCAATTATAACTGCACGAACGCAAAGCAATGGAACATTGGGAGCCTGCCGTACCGTCATGGTCATACCCGTGCCGTGCCACCCTCTGTCAGCCAGTCATGGCCGTCCCTGGGCAATCGTTTGGCTTCGGCGGTCTCCACGCCCCATCGACTCCGCCCACGGCGTGCAGACCGGTTTGACTCCGTCCCCCCCCCCCTGCAGCTTTGGACCCATGCCAGCTCGTTGTCCTATGCGTCAGCCCGAGCTGTCCCCCGCCCGCCACATCAGCCCCCCCCCCCTCTGCCTGACTAGTGAGCAGCGTGAGGATCAGCGAGCCCCCCCCCCCCCCCCCTCCTCGGCCGCACAGTACCCCACCACAAACAATGAGCAGAAACAGCAATACTCCCGTGTATTCGGCACAGGCCGGCGGCGACCGAGCCCCGGGACGGAGGCGCCGACCGCCGCCGAGCGCCGGCCTTCACACGATAATTTACAGACAACAGGGACGACAACGCGCCGACAGCGGAGAGGCGAGCCCCCTGTCACACCAACCCAGCCACAGGCCGCTCAGCCCGAACAACAACGCAGCGCAACGGTCAATAAAACCCGGCCCGGCCGGCGGCGCCGCCCGCCGCGGCTCGCGCTCACACCTGGAATGGGCCCGGTCGGGCCGCCGGAGCGGCGCCCAGTCACCAGTGTCCCGCCACCCGTCAGAGAACGCGCCGCTACCCCAGAGAGAGCGGCCTACCGAGTCAGTCTCCCAGACCACCCCGGGCCGCGCCCGGCCTCACAGGTCCAAAAATAGTCATGTGCGCGCCGCGCCGCGCCGTGCGTCGGACGGCGCCTACTTGCGCTGTCTCAGCTGCTTCTTAGTGTTCTGATCGACCTCGGGCAGCTCGGAGACATCCTCGTCCAGCTGTTTCTTGCCTACAGGGAGAAACACCCGCGCGTCAGCCAGTTACGCTGCAAAGAGAGACGGGAAGCATGCAGAAAACAGAGAGATAGCGGAGACAGAGAGCCAGCCGTGGGACAGACAGCCGCGACATCTAGAGGCGGCGAGAGCCAGCCAGTGGGACAGACAGCCGCGACATCTAGAGGCGGCTCCAAGCACTACCGGTGCTAGGCGGAAGGAGGGGGAGCCCGCAGGCGGCTGGCAAAACTATAACAACGCCAGGGCGAGAAAAGGTGACCAAAAATTAGTCTGCTTAGGCCAACGCAAAATAAAGACCCCATGTGTAAACTTGAAAAAAAAAACTCTAGCGGCACAGACCAGCCACGTGTCAGTGTTAGGCTGAAGCGGTTGCGGTGTAGGGTGCTCTAAATCAAATTGACAAGAAACTGCCAAAGCAGACTGTAAATTTTCGTACTGAGATAGCCAAAGAGTACACAGCTTCATGATTATTTCTGTGCGAGATGCGTCGCACAGCTTGGCGATCGCGTCAATATATGTATCGTCAGCCCTTAAAGGGAGATAATGAGCTTTCTTTTTTCTTAAATAAAAATTACTCGACATCTATACTATTTCTACTGTAGTTTCTATAAAATATGAAAATTTCCTAGCACATTTTCGTATGTGAAAAAGGTTTTTATTTTTGCAAAAAAGAAGCAGTACTTGCAGTACTTGTAACACCCAACGAAATGCGTTGTCCTTCTCTATAAAAAAAGTCGCAGTATATGGCGCTTTTGTTTCAAACAGCGACGCTTGGGTTTTTGTTTATGTTATCGCCTTGTCGTTGCTTGGTTGTAAGGATTCTAATTTGAATTAGAGTTAATTCGGTTTATAATTAATTAGATTCTAATTCGGGGGTACATAGTGCCTACTCTTCTTTGTTTCCAAGTATTATTTTGCGCCACAAATGAACGGCATGCGCCAGAAACGCAGCCAAATCTTGCGATTGCGACTACGAAATTCATTATTTTGGCCTCAGAGCCTGAAGCGAAAAATACAAGCATATTTATTTCAAAAAGACTTCAGGTTTGTCGAACGGTGTTATGAGAATTTTGATAACAGTTCTGCATAAGTTTTTCAGTGATGCCGCAAAAGTGTTGTATCTATCTTCTTTTATTGTGCAGTCGGCGGGACCGATTCAAAATTGAGTCGTTGCTACTAAAATAGCAGCATATGGCCTCAGATGATGAACAGGAAAAATAGTTGCGTAAATTTAGACGTAAACCACCCCCAAACCATGAATATCTTTTGAAGGCACTATAGACGACCATTAACTAACTAGATGTGATGAAGATCAAATGTAAGGAATACGCTCATTTTACAAAATTACATGCAAGTACCAAAAAGTGATGTGAGTACTTATTCAACGGTCATTTTCAGCGCTCCCCGCTAACGTGACTTCAAGTTGAGATATTTGCGGCAAGGTACCGAATTGAGCAAAATGGTTTTAATTTACATTATAACTTGTTGTGTTTTGTCAGAAAATGGTCCTAACTCAGATTTTGTGGAAAAAGGTCATTATCTCCCTTTAAGGCAACATTAAAACTGCAAAACATGTCACTATACTGGTAGTTTAAGCATTCATTATTCTAATCCAAGCAAACCAAGAGAAAGAGAAGAGATACAGATTAGTTATTGCATGATTGAGAAAAGTTAATGGACATGCACACGACAGATAGTGTGAAGAATTCCGAAGACACTGATAATTTACGTCCCCCCAGCACCGACACTGACGGCTGACGCAGAAGAAATGATCGTTATGTCTCCGAATTTAGTTAGTGCTTTCACAAATTTCCCCTAAAACGTTAGTTTATGGTGATGTTTCAGAAAGAACCACGCAAAAATCTGAACAATTCTTTAGAGCACATTTTTAACACCCGTTATCAAATAAAACGTTAGTAATTAGCCGTACCCACATAGGCGGTAAATAGGCGTAGTAGTGCAACGAGAGTAAGACAGTCACAGACGCCATGCCTTCTAAGCTACTTTCCTACTGTTTTTCATCTTCCATCAACGGTACTCACTCTTCTTCTCCTTGGGCTTCTTATCCTTCTTGGCGGGCGCGGCCTTCTTGGGGGCCGGTTTGAGGGCCGCCTGTTCGCGCATGCGCCGCAGGTGGTAGGTGATGAAGTGCCACATCATCCAGGCCTGCAGCAGGCAGATGCCCGCCAGACAGTTGACCCTGCGCGGAACACGGACACGGCAGGGGTCAGCACGGGGCACAGACAAGCGGCAGGGCACAACAGTACAGGGCTCAGGCAGTGAGACAAAATGGGGTCATCACGCTCATTGCGACAGCTGGTATGGTCATCACAGCTCATACCGAGCACTTCATTGGGGAAAAACCAGAAAGTCGGGGGTCCAGGCCAGGGCTGTGGAGTTGGAGTCGGAGTCGGTCGGTCGTCAGTTCTGTCCAGACGGGGTCAGAGTCATCGAAAAACCATCGCCTCCGCGGTCCTGGTCCATGAGTCAAGGAGCCTCCTACAGTCACAGAGCACGGAGTCGCCAGGATGCCACAGGCCGTTTGGAGCTCGACTCACCTGACCAGGTAGGTGTTGAAGTTGCCGGTGGCCAGGTCGAGACCCGGGTTCTCGGAGCGCGCCAGACCGAACCAGAAGGTCAGCACCGAGAGCACGATGGTGGAGAGGCGAGCCAGTGTGAACAGTACGTTAAACAGCAGGAACCCTGCCGGCGGCGGACACAGCGTCAGTACAGCGTGAACAGCACGTTAAACAGCAGGACACCTGCCGACGGCAAGACAAAAGAGAGTCAGTAAGGGACAAAGCACATCAGTGCCGGACAGCACGTCAGAACGATTCTGTTGTACGTCAGTTCACAGAACGGTTAGCAAGGGATGGACTGCTAAAATAAGTCAGGACGGCACAGAACATTTTAGTTCGAGACGGAAGGAGCACGCGAAAAAACCACACAAGAGTATGACAAACTGCTATCACATGCAAATCAATCACAACTTCACGTAATACAATCGACCCAGGGCCCGGGGGACAAAGTGGGACCAGCAGCCCAGCCCATCACATCTCAATTTAGCGGAACAGGTGAGGCGGGCGTCCCCAGTCGTGACCCACACCTACCCTCCATCTGATTACCGCACCGACAGAGGTCGCTAGTGACAGTCCCCTGGCGGCCGACCCAGGTAACACACGGAGATAGTGAGGCGAGTCACCGAGAAGGGCCACCGACCCGCCCGCAGAACGGGGCAGCGACAGTAGTGACGAAACAACAGAGCATGACTGTGTCACGATATCGTGTGAAAACACTGAGACAGCTACAGAAGGCGAGAAATGGAGCGGAAAAGCGCCCCTCGACTGTTCACAATCAGCGAGAACGGGCCACCAGCTGCAGTAGAATCCCTCAGCAGCCGTTCGTCCCGGGGAGGTAGGTCGGGTGGGGTCTCACCTTTGGCGGCCATCTCGGTTTTGTCGGCGAAGTGCAGCAGCCTGGAGGCGTGCACCACCGCCTCGACCGTGTAGTGGATGACTAGCAGCACCAGCGCCACGCGGGTCAGACTGCGGGGGGCACGGGGTCAGGGAGGTCAGACACGGGTCAGACTGTGGGAGGCACAGGGTCAGAGGGAGGCCAGAAATAGGGCCAGAGGCTGTCTGTCGGATATCGGACAAAGGATGAAGAAAAAGTTCGGTCGCTGGAAGGGTGCACATTGTGCAAATAGTCAATGCATGTCAAATACATCAAATATTCATTACACCCAATACCTGACTAATAATCCAGTGAACCATTAAATATCAACTTCCGACAGCTGGATGTAATCACACGGTACATCCATCAATACCCAACCTTCCCGAGTCCTATTACCCGGTACCGACAGCCCTCCCGTTCAGTCTCCAATTAATCCCGCCCACACGGGTCTTATACCGTACATTGCGCACCGATATAACTTCTCAGACACCACGTGCGTCTTACACGGTACACTGAGCGCACCGATATCACCCAGGTGTGCGCTCCCACGGCGGTCGGCCACGGTCGGACGAACTGAGTCGACAGGACTGCGGCGCGTACCGAACGGGAGACCCAAAGGACCATGGACACTGACTCAGGGGACCCACCGGGATCCGAACTCTCCCTTAGGGACCCAATTGGCCCTGGCAGTGATTCAGGAGACCTGGTAGGCCAGGACCTTTACGCTTCGGATCCAAACACTCGCTCAGATCAGTGAACACCACCGGCATCCCAACTCTCACTCGGGGACCTAACGGACTCCGGACACTCACACATGGGACAAAGCGGGACTCTGACACTCACACAGGGGACCCAGCGGCACTCTGACACTCACTCAGAGGGCACAGTGGGACTCTTGACACTCACTTGGTGACGTAGGCGGTGGTGATGAACACCAGGTAGAGCACAGCGTACTGGATGCGAGCCGGCCAGTCCTCCTTCCGGACCTGACGGTGCCGCGGGGCGGGAGTCACAAACTCAATATGCTAGCGCACGGCGCAGACAAAAGAAACGATAATCGTTATCTACAGTGAGCGGAAACTTTTGTTCGGTCCATTTAATTGGGTAAACAATGTTGATGGAATGGGAGACCAGTGTTAGTGAGAGACAGCAAACACGAGTTAAATTTTGATTTGCATGATTCTAAAAAGTAAATGAAATGACGGTCACTCATGTCGACGTTTTCCACCGGCCGGCCGGCCCGTCCACGCGCCGGCCGCAGAGAGCCGTACAGGGAAATATCGATCTAAGCTCTGCTATGAGCGAGCACGCTGCAGGCTAGATCCGGTCTCAGATAAGGGGCTCTAAGGCGGCGGGATATAAACTTCCGGGCACGGGGAGATACCGTGCACACTGCGGGACCCACGAACAGGCACTGTACCCGACAGGCACGACGCATGAACACTTTCCCTCGAGCGACTGCCGTTATTGGCAAACTACGCCGGCAGCGGGGACTGTACCTTCTGAAGTTCAGGCCGGGGGAGCGTGTGTACCGGCACGGGACCGGCACATGACGTACCTTCTGGAAGTAGAGCTCGGGGAAAGTGTGCAGCCAGTAGGAGATCTGCGTGATGAAGAAGAATTTGTACATGAAGGCCATCTGGGTGTGGCCCTCCGGGTAGTTCTCCCACAGCGAGCTGATGTTGGTCAAAATGTTCTCCCTGAAAAAAAACACCCGTCATCATTAAACTTAGCAAGGGAGACCATGACACGATGCTATATTTGTTTCAGGTCAGCCTTAAATGCAGATTTTAATCAATTAGTGTTCCATGACTGTAAACTGTGTTCCGATTATGATATGCTGCTGTTTGTATTCATACACCCTAATTATCTGTTTGGCATGATTGTGGGCTCACTTTCCCGTTTGGATGTGCTCTCATACACCGGGCGAGCTCTTTCTATGCGGGTTCCTTCCCTTCTCTATTCCTCTTCTCATTAGGCTACTCTCAGACCAAGGGAACCCCAAACAGGTGAGTTGAACAGGCGAGTTCAACAGCACATGGTACATTTGACTGACAAGCCATTTGCCAAGATGTGATGAAAAAGAAAGTAATGTATATAAAAGCCTGCCCTTTGGAAGCAGGCAGTTGAAGTGGGTGTCACCCTACCTGAATATGATGTGTCCTCCCCAGGCCACCGAAGTCAGGTAGAACACAAGCAGCTGACCAGACTCGGTGAACCGGCTGTGACGCGTCTTGCTCCGGTGCATCTTCTTATTGATTTTCTGAAGAAAAAAAAACATACAATAAGGATGGAAAATCCATTGCTTTTTAAAATGATAGTACCTTAAAAAGATTGACATGGTCAATAGATAGTGTCCACATCAGACTTTTTTATTCAGGCCTCCCTCCAACGGGCACTTATTTTCCCATTTACCTCCTCCTCGTGCTCCTCCTCCTCCCGGTCATCTTTCCCACCCCCCAGGCTACGGCTGAAGTCGGAGCCTACCCCACACCTGGTGACACAGGCGGGGACGGCGCCCGCGGAGAACGAGCGGAACCGGGAATCAAACCCGAACCCGGCACCGCCCGCACCGCGGGTCGACGCCCTAACCGACTGCGCCACCAGGGCCGCAACAATATTATAGCATATTATTTATGCTTATACACCAATAATCAGCACTCTGGAAGCAGTAGTACCTATCTACTAATTCTAGTACTAAAGTTCATGATAGTTGTAAACCCAGAATGCATTGAAAATACTTACATCAATAACAAACTCCTGGACGATGGCATGGATAACAATGCAGATGAGGAAGTAGAAGAAGATGACGCACAGGTCCTGGATACCATTGGTATACAGGAACACTGGAGGCTCGTTCTCATTCTCGATGGTGACATTGTGCTGGAGAGCAATAAATTTTGTGGCAAATGGAGATGTTACCTGAAAAGAGGATAGTATGAGTCAGTAGTAATCAAAGGATCATATTCATTTGCACACTGGTTCAATGCGATGCTACCATTGCCTGCAAAAGGGCCCAATGAAAGCAGTAACTGCCCATTCACAGGGAACCAGCTTCATTCAACAATGAAACAAGAAAATACATTTATTAAACATATAATGGAAGTGAACACTAAGTCCAGCTGGTGGTGCAAAAGCTGGTGCTTAACTCAAGGTACCGCCACCTGGCGACATAACTAGAATAAATGAGTGTGGTCCAGTCCAGAGCTGTGGTAGGTCGGGTCAGCTGTCGCAGCCATTGGCAGTGCTAATAAGCGGGCCGGAGCCGTTCCAGATATAGGTACCTAGTCCTATTAGTTTCTCACTGATCCCTAGAAGCTAGCTAATAATCAAAACTATTAATTGAAAAGACCAGCAGCAAAATTATGCACTTGATAATCAAGCACTAAAGGTAGGTAGGTAAGGTGGTAGGTAGCAATAGCATAAGAGCCTCGAGCCATGGAAGCCAACCATCCCCAGCAAACCTCTAACCCCCAAAAACAGTCAATGACATTAAAAACAATAATCTTTTAAACCCTCAATATGATTGAAAACATTCTAAATCCACTGAATAAATGCATGTTAAGGTTTATGAGCTCCTAACACTAAACAAGCTCATGAAAAACCTCTAGCATATGGACGATGAGTGAGCCACATTTTCAAGCTCACCTGGAACATCAATCCCACAATAAACACCATTGCGATGCAGGACACAATATCTTCATGATTTTGGATGATAAATTCATGGCTGAAAATAGGTGGACTTTTCGCTGATTTTCTTCCTTTCGGTCCCATCTTGCTGGAAGCCCGGCGCTCTCACGGGAGTCGGCCGCAAAGAACACAGCGCCGGCAAGCGTCTCTGGAGCACCAAATAACTTTCCCTTTCGTGTGCCATATCTAGGCTAGAATTCGCCTATTTATTCTTTGGCTATAAAATAAACGGCCTAACATTGCCTTAACAATTTCGATTAAAACGTTAAACCTGGTGATTTTGCATTTTCTGAAAATCTCATGAGCAATATCATTCGTAAAAATTGAGATGAAACCGTGAAAAGAGCTTTAAAACACAGTGTGCATGAAAATAGGCTTCTCCGATATGCCTATTTCTGGGCGGATATACGCCAACACTCCGCCAAAGTTGGCAGCGGTGAAATCCCCCAACGCCAAGTTGTCACCGAGTGGCAGCAGCTGGGGCGCTGGCGCATGTGTATCAGAGGAGGCCGGCCTCCGGCCATAACACGGGCACGGGGAGGTCCGGCCCCCGCCCGGCGCCCACCAACTCCATCTGACATTGAGTTCTCGATTCGGAATACGAGAAGAAAAATAATCGCCTTCAGGCTCAGCCACTTACGGAAGATCGGCTCGCGGATCCGTACGCAGCCAAACCACGGCCACATGACGTGAGCGAAAGATAACGGTCTTATTGACACTGCCCCCGACGGGGCTACGGTCGTAAATGTACTCGCCAAACGCACTGCCGCAGACATATGTGCGGCACTGCAGCCTATCGATCTCGATATAAAACGATGCAAACGTTCCGAACAAGTGAACACATTGACTCGTACCGGCCGAATGCTTTCTGAATAGCTCCGCTAAATGGGATTCAGTGCGACTCCCAGCACCGGCTTCGTTCGGGTTTGCATACGGCCATCGGTGTTCGCTACCCACGGATCGCACGCGGCGGTACGTCAGAAGCTGCAGTCTCAGCGACACAAACACTGGCGACATTTGGGTGAGTGTATTGACACGTGAAATCGGTCACGGGAGTATCGACGGCCACCGCGGCGCCCGCTCGGCTCCGGGCGGCTGCTCGCGCTGCGGCGGCTCGGCCCGTCCGCGCGGGACGCCTCAGACAGCAGCGGCGGCACAATCGCAGGTAAAACACCGGCCGGCGGCGGCGACATGCTGGCTGCCGGCGGCCCCTAGAACTCGTCCAGCTCCTTCGGTGCGTCCAGGTCCCGGTAACTGCTCAGAGGACGCACATGGCTGAAACGGGACACACAGACACGGGCAGGTTAGCAGAGACCCTCAGTATGTGCAGCGGCGCCGCGTCACACGGCGGGAGCCAATCAGCGGCGCCGACCGGCGGACGTCCACCAATGGCAGCCGCTGATTGGTCAACAGTAGCCAACCAGCGATACCGGCCGGCGCCCGCCGACCAATGGCGGCCGGCGCAGCCGCTGATTGGTCCACAGCGACCAATCAGCGACGCCGGGCCGCCTCGGGTGCGGCGTTTCAACACTGAACGAAGCTGCTCGAAAGTCGAATCATGAATCACATTCGTGAGGCAATATTTTACGGCCCCCAAAAAGATTGCATGTGCGACGCTTCAGCATTTATGTCGCAAAACGTTCACCAATTTCGATCATCAAATAAAACGCGTATTTAAAATTTCCCACCACCATTTAATAGCACCAAACTATAGATAATCCCTCGCAAAGGTAATGATTCGCCCACGAGACACCTCTTTCAATGCGGAAACGTCGGCGCGAGGCGGCGCGGCGCGGCGCCGGCGGCACCCTCGATACCTACGTGGTCGTCGTCGTCGGCGGCGACTGTGGGAATTACAACAAGTCAACGTCGGGCGGCGCGTCCAGGTCCCGGTAGTCGACGATGGATCGCGGGTCCCTGCGGCGACACACAGACGGTGCCGGGGCGCGTCAGTAGCCGCTTACTCACAGTGATACGGCGGGGTCACATGCGTACCGCTCCTGGTGGGTTACCGGTGACACGAGACAGAATACAGAGACAGACAGAGAGCAGGCGGCGCGGCAGAACGGATACAGAGGTACGACATAATCATCAACAGTGCAAATGTAAGCGGCGAAACGTGGCGAACAGAACAAAACAAGCAGCCTGCGAGATAACTGGTGACAACTGAGGCGAGTCAAGCATGCAGGCACTGTGCTGTGCAGGCAACAACGAACCAACTGAACACTAGCATCTGGTGATAAAACGACCTACGAATTTGGCGCACCACCCTGCACCGCCACGTGATTATTGCGACGCAAAACGTCTTTGGCGGGGCCAAAGCGTTCGGAAAGTGCCTCTCAAAGTGCCAAAGTGTCTTTGTTCACGTGGCGGGGCGGCGGGCGGATCACAATGTCTGTGATCACAAACTTGGCTCGGCGCGGCGGCGGCGGCGGCGGCTGGAGCGGCTGTGGAGGCCAGAATCCCGGCGAGGAGGCGGCGGCGCCGGCCGGGAACAGGACGTGTCCGTGGTACGGGTAGGGCGGGTGGGGGAAGCGGGGCGGCGGGCCGCCGGACGGGCCCGGAGCGGCCAGCCAGCCGCCACTGTCCGACAGCGGGTCAGTGGTCAGAGAGGTCACGAGAAGGGGATGGCAGGGCAGACTAGGAAGGGATGATGTATTGAAAGAGAAGGCAGGAAAGAACCCTGAGCATGCTTGATACTGAAAGGAGAGGAAGAAAAGGTAACTTTAGATATGCTACGGACAGCCGATAGCCTGACTAGGATGTTAAAATATAGAAAGAGACTTAAGTCAATCAGTTGGGAGATGAGAAAGAAGAATTAGAAATAAAGAGAGAGAAGTTACATGTTAAGTCGAGAGGAACAAACGGACAAAGAACAGGCAGAAGAGCACGACAAAATGATTGGGGCCAAGAAGAAATATAGACAGGTGATGTGACATAAGTGGGAAATAAATAAGACTATTGGATAAACGCATAAGAAAGACCATCACAATAGTGGTGCTAAGCCAAGTAAGAGAAACGATGAGACACAAATAGCTTCAAGAACAGAATTACTACGGAAGGGAAACGGTGCATCATTATTGAGGTACAAGACAACAAGAATAAGAGGTAGCTGATAGGTAGGTACGAACCAAGAAGAAATATGACAAAGTTGTACGACAGGATAGTATCAACAGTCGAAAACAGTTTCAAGGACCACTGTGATTCTGGGAAAAGGAGCAAAGAAAGACAGGTCCATGAATTAAAGGGAAGGTCCATGCAGCGCGACATGCCCGTGCGTTTCTCCGACGTAAATGACGTAACAATGAGATAGTGACAGTCGTCGGTAAGTCTGCTGGCAGTGGCGGGGGGCCGGGCCAGCCCTGAGAGGCCGACAGCGATTGATGATGATTGTCATACGCCGCCAGACATGCCGTCCGCACAGCATCTGCTCGGGAGCAATGGCGGAACGGCACTGACGTCCACCTGCACTGACGCTAGTGACACAGGGCTGCGCAACCTGCTAAACGTTAGTGACACGGGAATAACGGGGCTCGGCTCCAGCCGCTCCTGTCAAACATCATCCTTAGCGTGACACTCAGACACGGTTAAATCCATCCACTGGCCTCTCTGTGCACCTTGCTCCATCATGGCCCAGACCACCCCCAGCCAGACTCTCTGTAAGCAGCAGCTATGTTGACAGACCGTGACTGTGACAGTGACAGTGACCACGACACGGACGTCATCACTCACCGTCTGGCGCCGTAGGGGCGCGGCGGTCGCGGGTAGGCGTCCCGCGGCGGCAGGTACGGCTCCCGGTAGTAGGGGTCGCGCGGCGGCGGCGGCTGGTAACCACCGTACATCGGAGGACGCTGGTAGCCCCCGTAACCGCCGTAACTGCGAGCGGGGGGGGGGGGGGGGGTCAGCTGGTTGCACAGAGTATGACAAGGGAATGAGCTGGAAGACTTTAAACATATTACATTAAGACTGCAGCGCTAATTGTTTCAGTAAGCATGAACCGAAAGTATCAATCAGATTTATCAATCTAAAACAGCAAGATTCTGAACTGTTTCGGAAGACACCACATAGTACTGAATACTACTGGCTGCGGCCGTCTCCAACCACTACAACCTGAGCCACCCGCTCCACACCGAGTCTAGTCCCGGCTCCCTCCCACACCCTACACCTCCGCAGTTAAGTACGCACTGGTGCGGCGGCGGCGGCGGTCCCGGCTGGGTCCTGAGCCTCCTCCCACTCCCACCCCTATACCCCCGGCTGGGTACGTAGTACGCACTGGTGCGGCGGCGGCGGCGGTCCCGGCTGGGTCCTGAGCTCCCCTCCCTCCCCTATACCCCCGGTTTAGTACGCACTGGTGCGGCGGCGGCGGCGGTCCCGGCTGGCCGTATGGTGCCCCGTGGAACGGCGCCGGCGGGTCCTCCTTGCGGCTGGGCCCGGCGCCGCCCGCCTTGGCCGACGGGTGCTCGGGCAGCTGGGGCCGCTTCGGGTCGCGCAGGTAGTTGTTGAAGAACTCCACCTGGTACAGAGAGGGCATCAAAGGTCAGCAAAGGGGGGCACCAGAGAGGGACCTGGCGTAGAGTGATCTACAATAAGCGGCCTACAAGGTGCCGGGAAGTTATCGAGTCATAGTCACGGCAGATGTTGGTCCTAGACCCTAGTTTACGATGCATCCCTCGGTCATTCGAAAAGAAAGCAGCATTGCAAAGTTGGCAGTGGATGAACAGAAGGGTTAACTGATGTGATATAACTAAGAGCTCAAGAAGTCCCTTAACCAGTGCCCTTTCACTGACCTCCTTTTTCACTTCCTCCACCTTCTCGGCGTGTTTGTTGAAGATGTGTTTGCGCACAAAGTCGGGTCCCTTGAACTTTTTGTTGCTGAGCGGGCACAGCCACTTGTCCTTGGCCAGCTCCTGAGTGTTGGCCTGCACGAACTTCTCCACCTCCTCCTCTGGGTCCTTCAGAACTGCGGAACGAGGTCAGGTCAGGTCAGATCAGGTGGAGGTCCTTCACAACTGCGGACCGAGGGCAGATCGAGCAGGGGTCCTCCACAGCACGGACGGTGTCAGGTCACGTGGGGTCCCTCACAACAGTGAGCCGAGCCCGCGGGGAGGGGTTGGTTCAGCCACCGTCCCGACACTGATCGACATCTGGTGGAATTCAATCCACACAGTGGACACCGAACAAGGCCCTGGGCCAGTGGACTGCGGACACTGGGCAGGTGGGGCATTCCACGATAGATCGTACCACTTTTTTCCAATTTGACACCCTCATCTCTCGGAATTTGACGAGAATTGGTCTCAGGGGTAATCAGGGGCTCTGAATCCACCTGTAACAATTTCAGGCTTATCAGATAAGTATTTTTTGAGTTATGGTGTATAACATTTTTTGGATCTTGCTTTGCAGCGCTAAGTTTGGCGGGCTGTAACTCTAAGACGGATTATTCAAATGCCAAATGTTATATAACATTGAACTTGCAATGAAACAGAGATTAATATGTATTTTTTAAATTTCGAAAAATACGCTATTTTTGATATATGACACATCGAGTTTTCTTTCATTTGTATTTTTTGGATTTTGGGACCAATTTTTTTTTTGAATTTTTATTTCTTTAAAAAAATATTCGGCTCATTGTTAAGAAGTATGCAAAAAATTAGGAAGGTGTTCTTTCTATAAATGTATTTATTTTACGTCACGATAACGGTTTCGAATAGTGATTTCGGGAGGGGAGCTTACAAATGGCGTGGTAAAGCTGCCTAGTGACATCACGGGTTACTGAAATTTCAATTAAAGTCTGAGTCATCTGAAAAAAAGTGAAAAGAGGGTTCATTCAACCCTCTTTCCTATAAGCGCGAGGGTGAAAAAGGCTGTTTGGTTCTGACATTGTTTTGGACGCCAATGACCATAGCTGTCCGAGATGAAAGTTACAGGACGCATACATGGTGTCCTCCAGAGGTCTCACAACTTGTATATCTGGAAATTTTTCAAGGTTACATGAGGCCAGGTCGGTCACGTGACATCACTGTTATAAATCAATGGGGAAATATAAAAACTGTTATTTTGGCGCCGAGAATGATCTAAAACTATCCCACGTACATGGTAACGTGATTTCATGCACTCCTTGCAAAGTCCAATGCTTTACTTTTGCATTGTTAACCTTGCGTGACGTCATTTATGACGTCACTAGGGTCGTACGAGTTTTTCGTCAATAACTCCCGATCAAATGGAGCTAGAGAGTCGGGAAAGCCACTAATGGACTCGGGAAGACCTTCCGAATCGAATGATATGCCATATGATACCCTTTGCCCAGCTTCGTGACCTGAGGGGCTCTGACCTGACCTTGACCCGAGGTCAACTACTTAAGTTGACCTCACCCAAGCAAAAAGTATACCATTCGATGCACCTGAGCTAGGCGAACACAATGATGCCAAAATCGCGGCTCTGCGGCCATTTTTGCGAAGTTATTTACTAAAAACCGAACCCGTAACTTCAGTTACGTGACTTGACCTCAGACGCTACCGGTTAACCTGAGGCCTTAAAATCGGGTACCAATCGCTGCGACTTGTAACGGCACACACGCTCGTTTTTTCCGCGAGGCTCTAGCTCTATTAGAAGCGAAACGGCGTGCTGGGGTCGTATCAACCCCTCCGAAACCCATTTTGTTTGCGGGAAAATGAGGAACTTATAGAAAGAACACCTTTCTAATTTTTTGCATGTCGATTTGCAATGACATGAAGATTATTTTGAAAAAATAAAAATGTGAAAAATTTTGGTCCCAAAAGTCATTAGAGGCAAATGAAAAAAGATTAGGGTTTTTGCTCAACAATGAAATTTTTTCTTTGGAATTTTTAAATAGTAATATTAATTTTTGATTCATCGCAAGCTTAGTGTTGTTTACTTTTTGTTGGTTACTTAACCCGTTCTTGAGTTATAGGCCATCAAACTCACCGTTACATACCGAAGTTAAAAAATGTAATGCAATATAACTCAAAAAGTTTTGATCTGAGAAGTCTGATATTTTGCCAGGCGTCTTTGGGGCCTATGATTACCCCTAGGACCGATTTTCATTAAAATCTGAGAGATGAGGGTGACGGGCCTGGTACGATCTATCGTGGAATGCCCCAGGTGTCTCACGAGCCATCCTCCCACACGTTGAACCGTCACAGCTGCTGAGGCCGGCGGACCGTGAGTCGGAGCGGCGAGACGGTACTCACTGAGGCCGTTCTTTTTGCACTCGTCGTCCACCCAGCGGGTCAGCGGCAGAAGGAACGAGCCGATCTTGTTCTCAAACGACGAAATGTAGTCCTGCACCTCCGTGCTGGTCACCTGAGGCAATGGAGGAGCGAGGTCAGATAGGCGACGGCAGCGCCACACACGCAGTTCAGGTTAGCGAGAGGGACAACAGATGGCAGCACTACCGCGGCTGCCACTGAGAAATCGACCAAAAATAGTGTTTCCATATCCCCAAACTTGCAATTATGCCAAAATAAGCGAGGCGAAATAGAGGGAAAGCCGAAGATGCTACAAGTGAACTTTTAAGTGATGCAGTAATCAAGAATCATAGCTACAGACATAAAACTCGATATCGAAGCATATCACACCTGTGCTGCATATATGGCACACGGTTTACGATCCACATTTCGTGTTGTATGAAAGGAGAGCTAGTTAGCACTCCCCTAGACAAGGACGGAATACAAACACATATGGATGACGGCACATCATCCATCCGTTTTCAGAGTGCTCGGTCACGATCAGCAGAAGAGTTGCAACGCATCGGCATTCGGCATCCTCGCTTACAGACTTAATACTCGCCCACAGTTAGATCGAGAGGTGCTAGGACCTTCAACTCAGCGCACTTCATGATTACAAACCTAGATGTCTTATGGAACGATTCGACTCAGAGCCCTTCCTAAATACGAAACAAATCTCGTGCGAAGCGGGAGTCAAGCAACATGTAAATTATAACAACGTTCAGTGACACGCTGAGAATGGATAATGAGAAAAATTCGGTCAACAGGGAAAACAATGCAATGAATAGTTCGTCCTAGCATGCTGGAGATTTGCAATGAGCTACTTCCGCGACTTATCCCACAATTAATTAGGCAGCAGCACATTTGTACCTACAGCTCATGAGCTGATAAAACCCGACTAATGAGGCAGGCGCCAGCACGGCACACGCGAGCATGGTTCCCCAATCCGCACTGCGGGTAAGGAATTGATTTAAAATGCCACGTGTCATGTCGTAGCTTAATTCGGCTTTTCATTTTTTAAGCCCTACATCTGAAAGATTTCGGACGAATAAGTACATAACAATTATAGCATTGCACTGGAAAACACTACAAAACCTAACGCATCAGTATCCGATTCCAAAGCTCAAGAGCTTCGCAAATCCTATCATGCTAGTACGTAGTCCTAGAAAAGGGCAGATCTTTTTCTCCACGATGGGTGATTCCAACTTTCATCACCCTTTGTCACCCTTTGCCATTCGTCACCCTTTGGATAACCTGCAGGACCAAACATTCACGAATGACCTTATGAAGGTCACCACTCACTTAAAGGAATTACGGCGAATGAACATCTAATATAGCTATGCAACGAAGTCAACAGCACAATGAAAGCACACACAGCACAAATGAGGAGCCTTTGATGGTCGCTGTCTCGGTCGTCACTGCACGGAGCAGGGCTGCGGAGTCGGAGTCGGAGTCGGTCGGAGTCGACAGTTGTGACCGGAGTCGGAGTCGGAGTCGGAGTCGATTTTAGAAACCCGAGCCGGAGTCGGAGTCGGAGTCACTGAAAATCTGTCGACTCCGCAGCCCTGCTAGGTCTGCGGAGTCGGAGTCGGGAGTTGGAGTCGGTCGGAGTCGACAATTCTGCCCGGAGCCGGAGTCGGAGTCGGAGCTGGTTTTTGAAAGCCGGAGTCGGAGTCGGAGTCGGAGTCGCCGAAAATCCATCGACTCCGCAGCCCTGGCACGGAGGAACGCGCGTGGAAGTGTGATTGAGCCTCTCGCTCTGGTGCGCACAGACGCCCGCCGGCTTTCATGCTGTCTACAAACTACTGCGTGACGACGGAGCAACGAGGAACACCCAGCGAGATGAGAGGAACACTTGCCTTCTTCAGCGGCAAACAACGCAATTAAAACAGAAACAGCAAACGCACACTCGCTTGACAGCGGCTGCACTCAGGACAGTACTTTTTCACACAGATAGACAGATTTTTTACTAGGCTTGGAAGATGCAAGCAAGGCTCGTAAAGGTTTAATGCTACTCTGGGGCTTCCACTACTCACAGTATTACCACCTTCGTCTCTGCAACCGGCACTGCGCGAGGGCCGTGCGGGCTCAGCCCCGGCGACTCGGTGTCTGCCCAGACCAATGTCTCCCCCTAATTCCTACCATCTTTCCGGCTCTGAAATGGTCTTGTCAGACCGAAAGGGCCTAACCCAACAAAACAAACAAGCAACCAAAGAAGGTCCGCAAGAGCCGAGACCTTGCAATGTTCCCCGCTCCCTCGTCTATCCTGCGTAAGGTATGTTTGGACGCTACTGTCGACTATCGTCATGGTAAAGCACAGCCAGGTTTGCTCCACCATGCCAGTCTCTGGTCGTTTTCGGCGTTTCTTTATCGAAACATAAATAAATACATGAAATATTCACATGATTACAATAACAATTGCTGGTAACATTATACTGATTTTGTAGTTGGTATTTCATGTGATGCTTTTATGTGCTTATCACAAAATCTTCATCAAATATCACCCTTGTCAAGGTGGCTCTATCCGCCATTTTTCCCGGTGTAAAATATCCAAGGATTTTCAGTGAGCACGTTCATATCTCAGCCACGCTGGTCTCGCTGCGGCTGTGAATGGCGCACTTATACTTCCATGCACTCTATGTCCGCGCCGCAGACTGACGGGCCACCGTTATCGGCCGCCGTTCGCCGGACCGCCGGGGCCCCCTCCGCCGGGCCGCCGGGGTCCCCTCCGCTCCTCCCGCCGCCGCCAGCAGAGCGGAGACAGTCGAATGGAGGGTCCCAGATGGACCACAGATCCCCACCCGAACGCGGCGCACAGCGCGAGACTTCACCGACACCGACCCTCCGTCGGCGAGCGCCGACACATTTTACTTGCAGATATGAACGGACAATTTATTCATGGAAAGTAGAGAAAGGAGGAGACCTTGAGCCCCCTTGATGCGCAGAAAATCCGTCCAACAGTGCCGGGGAACAAGCACGCCTGAAATTCATGGGCCCACCAATGCAGCACGAGCGTTTCATATATAGCGCCAGCCGCCATTCGAAACGTTATGCTTGGTTCCAGCTAATCATAACAAATTACCAAAGGCCGTGAGCAGTGAGCACTTTAGTGGTCTGTAGCCATTGGCAGCTGAAATCAGCACCATGGGCATGGTTGTCAGACACATTTCTGATCTAAGAAGCCACTTTAGGTGTTTGTTGATCTGCTTTCCGCCTCCCTCAGTTAGGGTGCTCGCCATGAGAGACTGACGGACATCCCAGTCGTACCCGTTAATAGCGAATCGCGTGATAATATGGTAACCATCCACCCACACACATGAACCATCCAATCACCCACCAGCCTTTAAGCTGGCCTGCACGCGCGAAACACGTCACGTACCTTTGAGCTGGGCGGCAGGCCGCGCGCGTGTATGATGCCGCACCGGTTGGGCATCTCGTCCTCATTGGGGTACTCGGAGTGGTTGTAGTAATCCACAGAGTGGACCACGCGCAGGTAGAGCAGCAGGCGGTCCAGCACCTGACACCAGGGGGGCGACACGGTCAGAGCGGGGCCGGTCACGTCACGTCGGGTCAGGTCACAGTTGGATAGGCTGAGTGCAGCCAGTCAGAGGACACAAACAACCACACATTGATGAGACCTCCCCATAAACGCAGCCGTACATTGATGAGCCCTCCCTGACTATCCTGCCGTAACTTGCAGACCCATCCTCTCACCGTACCTTGATGAGCCCTGTCCCACCGCCCCGCCGTACCGTTGATCACTACCCCAGCCGCACCTTGATGAGTTCGTCGTCCCTCTCGATGGTGTCGCCGCCGGCGGGCGCCTCCTCCTGGCTGGAGGCGCTCACCCCGAGCAGCTCCTCCTCCTCAGCCGAGGCCTCTTCGATCAAGTAGTCGGTGATGTTGCGCAGGATCGGGTTGTTGCTCGACACGCCGTACGACGGCTGCGTGATGACACGGTAACATATACCGGTCAGCGGAGGCGGGAGACGAATGATCGGCAAACTTTTAGCATCACCGATAATGTATACACTTTCTACTGCCAGCTACATTTGTTTGAAACGATGAAGGTGGAGGAGAAACAAAATTAAACACGGAACAACTTCTCATGAGAGTAAATCATTGACCTATAGAGTAAATTCCCAGATGAGCAGCTCCTTCACACCACCGTCGTTTCGGCACCACCAATCAAGTCAGCTCCGGCTCCTGACCCGCGGCATCTCTGTCCCCCTGATCATCCCCCCTTCCCTCTCCGATCACCGCTGCCAGCACCTCCCCCCACCATCGTTGGGCGCGCCCCGGGGCGGCCATTTGGCCCTGTCCGGAACGAACGGCCGGCTCCGGCGGCGGCGTGCCGGAAGACGGCCGCGCGCCGGAACTAATCCGCGCCAGATGAGGAGCCGATCAGAGGCACCGCGCCGGGCGGAACCGCGCCGCCGCCGCGGCCGTCCTCTGATCGGGAGTGTACACTGTTCGGGGAGCGCGTAAACGGACCGGCCGGCCCCGGTAACGGCCGGGAGATGGTCATGGCTCCGCCAGCGGATACGGCCGGACGGGGACTACCTCCGGCGTCGGACAGCGCCACAGGGAGCTCCGACTGAGGGGAGGGGGAGTCGCTGCAGTGCTAGGTAGAGGAGACCCACGGTGTAGCGAAGGAGGACGCTACTTCTCGCAAAGGTCGGCTGAGAAGTAGCGGGCCAAAGTTTGGACATCCAAGAGGAACGATTATCTTCATTCAGTGCACTTCTTTATCATATTGCCTGACCGTGCGCGCAATCATAATTTCGCTGCATCCTTCCCCCTTCGTCGGTCCCAACATCTCACCGCGACCTTTCGGGGTAGATCGAGGGACCACGACTGACCTGCTGCCCCCTCTGTTCGGCGTCCGGGTCGGGCCACAGCTGGTAGCGCGAGTCCAGGTTCTGGATGATCTTGGCCGCCAGTTTGATGTCGGCGCGCACCACCTGTTTGTGCGAGGTGATGCCGTTCACGGTGCGCACTCGGCGCGACAGGTCCCGGTTCACGATGGCGCCCAGCTCGCAGTCACGCAGCTGACGGAGCAGAGAGACACAACGTCAAACACAGAGACCAACACACAACAAACACACAAACAGTTGGACACAACACAGAGAGACCAACACACAGCAAATATACAGTTAGACATAGATGACAGACAGACCCTACAGACAGACAGACAGACAGACCTACGGGTGTCCGGTGGGAGATCCTACCCCTTCCTTTCCATATCATTCGGTGATCCCGCCTCAGCCAGGACATAGTTACTAGCCGAACATGAGACATGTACCCACTCGGCAAGCGGACCTTCTATTACCCGGTAAAGCCTACGTGCAACATTCTACAATCTACACGGAACCGCCCCAAAAGCCGCCGACAGCGTCCTCCGACACAAATTAGCCGCCTACGCCGCCGCGGGGTCGCCCTGACACTCTGAACTTTCCGCTGTAATGAGATGCGGCCACCTGGGTCTGAAAATGTTGAGCGTTATGTGACCGCGCCGTCCCGGCGGGCGGCACCAATTGATTCCCTCCCGGCGGAGGCGGCGGCATATGGCCATCATGGCCACCCGGTGTCACCGGGCCCGTCAGTTCGGCACGGAGACACACGACCCTGGCCGCCCCGTTTGACAGTTACGCCGCAGACAGCAATCTGTATTCAGCCGACACGGGGCGGGGAAAATGGAGAACCCGTGACCAAACAACGCGCCGACAGGTCAGCTGAGATACAATTAATCCCCAGAACAGCTGCAGCTACTTTCGGTCAAATATTTCTCAAAATACCTACAGCAACAAAACGGGATCCTCAAAACATTCCGAGTGGAGCGATCGCCTAACACATCAAATCATCCCCGTCTTTAGATTCTGGTCACTTCTGCCCTGAGGTCAGGTAAGACAGCGATACCCCCTCTAACCCTGCACAGGCGCTAGGGCCAAACGCTAGCGTGTTATTGGGGATTCCTCGCGTCAGAATCAAACAAAAAAAATCCACTCGTAAATCAGAATATTTCACCCCCCCGACCTACACACACAGGACGTGACATCCGATGGGGGTTAGCGCCGGCATACTAACATCCACAGCATATGCTAATGCCAGTTCAGTGGAGTCATGAGCTACAGTAAGTACTAAGTCTATGTACAGGGATTGAAACTCAGGGAAAAGTCAGCTGCTGGGCTGTTGGCAGAAGCCGAAACACCTACTCCCAAACACATTTTATTCGACTGGGGAATAAACAATATCGCACCTGTCAAACAGCGTCGATCAACAGTGGAAAATGAGTGACAAACAGTCGTCAACAAACAGATGCCACAAAAAAAAAACAGTACCACTACGAAAAGATGAGATGTGGTCAGTCACTAGCCAGCGACTAGCCGCCGGGTCAGTCAGCACAGCCGCTAGCCGGGTCAATCACAGTCAGCCCGCACCACCACGATCCCCCACATCTAGCCCAGCCCGTGTTGGAGCATCGCTGCAGTGTAAATCCAGCCACCAAGTCACCCGTGTCCAATGTCCCGATCCCGGCCGGCACCGGTCTCGGGGGAAGGGGCGCAGGTAGGGGGAGGGAAGTTGCAGAAGGGGGCGCAGGGGCAGGGGCGGCACTCACCCGGATGTTGTTGAGGTTCCAGCAGATCTCCTTGATGTTCACCTGGCGCTCGAACGTGACCCAGCCGCGCCGGAACCAGCGTCGCTCCGGCTGCGGGTCGGCGATCGCCGCCCGCAGGAAGCCTGGGTACCGGCGGCACATCTGACGGGGCAGGGCGGGGCAGGTCAGGTCAGGTCAGGTCAGGTCACGTCACGTCACGTCACGTCAGGTCAGGTAGGGGTTGGGTCAGGTCAGGTCGGGTCAGATCTGACGAATCTATGTGCAGGAGTCAGCAGGGGCGCGGGAACTACTTTCCGACTGGGGGGGGGGGGGGGGGGCACACCATAATAGAGATTAACCTAGGGTACCCCCAAATCTAGTTTTCTCACCGGTTTTAGGCCACTTATTTTTCACCCCTCGGCTTTTTCAACAAAAAAAAGAAAACATTTGCAAAAAAGTGTGGTATTCCGTCTCAAAGCTGTGGGGGCACCGCCCCCACGGCCCTAGAGTTGGGGGGGGGGCAAGCTGCCCCCACTGCCCCCCCCCCCCCCGGCTCCCGCGCCTATGGGAGTCAGATTTACAAACCACGCGGTGAGGTGCAGAATAAAATCAGAGTGATACAGATGACTGACAAAAGAGGGCGTAACCCGACCAAAGCAGAGTTCGCTGAGCGCTGAGCAGTGAGTGGTCATCTGGCCTCCAGCCCCCTTCCCCCTAATCGGAACAAACTCTCGCGTCGATGGCAAAATTCAGAACGGAAATAATTTTTTTTTTGCGTAAACCACAAAGGCCTTCATTAGTTGTCAAGATCCTTACCCCTCGACTCAACGATAGCTTGTAGTCATTCAAACGGCCCCCACACAAAAAGCGGCCACCCAGACGCAGAACCCCGGCCGGGCGCCGCCGACAGACCCCGCCCGACTGCCGGCCGGATTAGTTCGGGTAAACAGCGGCGAGCCGGTCCAAACTCGGCCCCAGGCCCGGATAATAGGGCTAGTTGACAGCAGTTGGCCAACGCGTCCTAACTACGCCGCTTCAGACGTCCAACTTTGCAGGCACGTAGCGGAAGACTCAAACCATGCTCCGAGCGCTAAGCCAAAAGCGATGTCGCTGTTTAACGTACAGTGTACCCTAGTTTGGCAAATAGAAATCACGCCGTATCAGAAACTAAGCCCGGATTGAATACGATCACGATATTCACGCTACACGTCATATCAATTACATTACTAAGCGCAATATACTTTGTTGAACCTCTTACGAGCATGTCAATGCTGGTATTCAAATTGGTCCCCAAATTGGACAGCATCATAAAAAAGTTCCTAAAACAAAGGTACAGGTCTCGCGGATTTTAACGGTAGGTTTTGCACCTAGAAAATTTAGTGTACTTCAGGCTATATCTTCGTCGTCTTAATCTTCTAAGTGTTGAAGATGCGATCGACTTGTTGGTTCACAAGCCGGCCATGATCGTGTAAAATGACTTTATCGTAGATCGATTAGTTCCTGAGATATAGTAACCGGAAAAGTGCAAAATCTACCGCTTAATCTCGCGAGAGCCGTACATACATACAGCATCTTCAGGCCACTTTTGCCAAGTTCGGTCTAGTAAACCTAAACAGGGCCTGGGTCTGCGTCAGCCTCACAGTTCCCTCAACTCGTTCAGCGATAACCCCGCACCATTCGTCAGCGACCCCATCAGCTGGCGGGCGGGACATATGTGGCGCCCGTTTGGCTGCCGCTCCAATCCCGGCGCGGCTGTCAGTAGCTGCGGCGTATGCTGCGCGCCGGCCGCCGCAGGGGTCGTGGGCCGCTCGTAACCACATTTTACGCCCCCGGCCGCACCGCCGGCAGATTCGGCGCCCGTTACTGCGCTCATGCAGAATTCAGCGGCGAGGCCGTCCGCCGGGCCGGCTCGGTCGGCGAGTCTCCATCGTGTGACGCCGACACAGTCGAGCAGGCCGACCGAACGCCCCTCTAACGGCAGAGCACAGAGGCACCGACCCGGTCCCCGCCGGTCCGAAACCACCCGATAACAGCCGAGCCGCCACCAGTCGAGCCGGCACTCCATCCGCCCCTCCGTGCCGACAGGAACATCAACTCCATCGCCAGCCGGGACAAAGAGCCATTCCACCGCGGCAGCTTCCGACCCGGAACGGCCGCTACTTGTCACACGCACATACCGTGCCCAGACTCATTTCGACGCCTCGCCACAGATAAATGAAGTCAATAACATATGAAAAGAGCACATCAACTACAAAATAGACAAGAGTCGGGCCGAATTCGCGGCTACTAGAGACCAAAAGTTGTGCAATCATCTCACCAATGCTCCAAGTTGGTGCGAGTGTTGGTGGCTGCATGGCGGACAGCAGCGGCCGGGTAAAATCCAGACAGTCTTTGTACAGGAGCAAGCTAACTCGATTGTTGCCTAAGTGCCGCACCAAAACAGAGCCACCAGGCTATTCCATCTGGCGCGCGCGTCTTTCTATTGTCGCAGCCACTGAAGGAGGCACTTAGGACGCGAGAGGCGAGGCTACGCGTCTGAATTCATTCCATTGTTTGTGCCTGCCGCGGGTTGGAACGAACTAATTCTGGCCCAAACACCGCCTCCAGGTTGACAAAAACGCACAGACGCTGTCCGTCAGTGCTCGAGCACAGCGCAATGCTCTCAGCGGTACCAATCAGGAATCAATAGAGAGCACGCATGCCTGAGCTGCGGCGCTGGCCGCATACTAACCAATGGGCGGCATTGAGACGCTGTCGCCGGTTATACGATATCGGTTCAGAATATTTCGTATTGTCCTGACACTAGCATGAAATAAATTATTTTCAAAAACGACCAGGCTCAAACTCCATGCATAGGTACACAGCATCGCACAACGCCGGGTTTACAAAATTATGATTAGCTAGTTATTTAGCGCAATGAACATAAAACATAATCAACCTTGCGACTACCACTTTCTCAGAACGGATAAGCAGGTCCCGCGCAGTTGTTTCAATGTTGGTGAGCTTTCTGTTGTGAAGACAGACGGACAAACATAATTTTCCACTAGATTACATTCGCACTTATGAAAGCAGGGCACACAACTGCGAAGTTGTGTTTCAACTCAAAGCGTTTACCACCGACCAGTCGTGGTCCATGTGTTGATGTTGGGTGCCCCCCCCCCCCCCAACTCACCGCCTCCACCTTATGTTTGGTGATGGTGGGCACCCCCCCCCCCCCAACTCACCGCCTCCACCTCCTGTTTGGCGATGGTGCCTCCCGCCCCCTCTCAACGCCTCCACCTTATGTTTGGTGATGGTGGGCGCCCCCCCCCCCCCACACTCACCGCCTCCACCTTATGTTTGGTGATGGTGGGCGCACCCCCCCCCCCCTGTCCTCCCCCCCCCCCCACTCACCGCCTCCACCTCCTGTTTGGTAATGGTGGGCGCCAGGTTGCGCAGGAAGATGGAGGTGGTCCGGTGCAGCGGCCGCGGTCGGCGCTCGTCCGCCTTGGCCTCGGTCTTATCCGCCTTCTTTTCTCCATCCTCCTCCCGTTTGGCCTTCTCGTCGCCGTCGGCGGCCGCCTCTGCGGGTGCCGTGTCTCCGGGTGGCCGCGGCGAGGCCGGCTCGGGCCGACCGTCCAGCTCGCCGCCCTCGTCGGCAGACACCGGCTCCGTCTTATTGGCCTCGCCGTCGGCGGCGGCGGCGGCGGCGGCGGCGGAGCCGTTCTCGGCGCCCGGAGGAGCGGGCTCGGCGGGCTCGTCCGGCTCGTCACTGTCTGAGGAGGACGAGCTCGAACTGCTGCCGCTGTTGTACTCGTACTTGCGCTTCTTGGTCTCCTCTGCCGGAGGTGGGAGGACGTTAGACCACACGGGACAGGGCGGAGCGCGATGGGGTGCGAAAGTTCGGCTGCACGTCGCTAATCGCAATACAGGGAAGACAAGAGACAGCAACGCTCAACAGGTGATGGCTTTACAATAAAATCGAGCCATTTATGCTACGACATAACCAAATTATTATCATTCTACTCTCATGGGACAAAGAAAGCAAGAAAAAGACAAAAGCAAACGCAGTATAAATATTGATCAAGGTGTACCCGGACGAAGATGACGTACCGCCTTTCTTCTTAAGAAATTCCTTGGCCTTCTCTTGGAGTGCCTTTTGTTCGTCGGTCAGAGGCAGCTTGGAGAGGTCCTCCGTCTTCGCCTTATCCGCCTCCTCCTTCTTCTTCTTGTCCCTGAAATGGGTGGCAAACAACACGTCAGTGCCAGCGCTATTCTAATCACCTCAGGTACTGACGGCAGACGATAACAAGCGGCACCTTAATTAACTCTGAACGCGGTGGGCATCGTCCGCTTTAATCGCCGACTGCCCGCCGTTTATCGGCCATCTGACTCTTGTTATCGTCTCCGTCAGAGCTAAACAAGCAAGTTTTGAGGGAGATTGAAAAGATGCAAACTTCTGCTCTGGTCGGGTGTGTTTGAGCTGAAAAACACTTCGTGCGAGTCCACAAACCGGTAAGTGGCAGCACTATGTAAGAGCACGTCCGACGTGTATGGAAACAAAGCATGAAGCCCTTACAGGCAGCCAGCGTCTAGTGTCGAAACCCAGTGCCGACCAGCGAAAATCCACAATAAACGAATGTTAAAGGTCTCTGATATCCATGAGCTCTGGAGTCCCCGTCTCAGCACATACGTCGGCCGCTGGGTAACTGATGGGGGTCCCGACACCAATGGTACCATTCGATTGGAGGCTCCCCACAGTCACCTGAGTCAGGCCAGCCCAAATAGTCCAAATGCATACTGAATAGCGCAGAAAAGTGGCCCTTCTACACCGGCACCACTCTGCCGCGACATTCTAACAGCTCGTGCCAGACTTTTCGATGAACTACGTGGAACTACGTAAACGAGATGGAAGTTTTCTATAGACGCGTGGCCTAGTTTCGGAATGGCCATACTCTTTTAACGAGCACTCATGTTCGCCGCTCCGCGGCCCCGAGCATCCTACCCAGGGAACGAAGAGCTCACAAAACGGCGACAGGCAGCGCCAGACGAGCACAAACGGCGATGAGTTTGAGCAGCACAAATAAGAATATAATTGGAAGAGCAACAGATCATGAGTGTAATTATGCACAATTTTCATCGAAGTTGTCTCTTCCTTTCAGATCAAATGCATCGAGCAGCATATCAGTAATTAGAAAAGCAGCCGCCTTGGCATAAATACCTAATTATGGACACTTCGTTCTTTGATCGCTGGTTCGAAACATGTTCGGAAGCCCTCTCAGCGATGTGGCGTCATACGGCGGGCATCAATTCCACAATTTGGACGGGAATCTGTCGTTATCAGGCAGTCAGCGTTCCTTACGGGGTAATTTCACGCGGCGCGCTGCTCGGATGCCGACGGGACCATTTAGCCGATAAAAACGGCCATTTGTCGGCCGGAGGGAGTGGCTCGATCGGCGGCACGAGCCAGAGCGGCGGAAAATGCGCCCAGCGGCAGTCGGGACGGCTCTATTCCGCGCCGCTGTATGGACGACGTCGGCCGTCGGCGAGGAATACCAAGGGAGGGACTCGTAGCACAGAGACGGTATGATAGGGTAACTGACTCCCGGCACTCGCATCGTCTCTCAGTCACGGCGAATGCAGAAGGAACACCACCACAGTGGCTGTTTTCGAGTTCCGGGAGTGACAGCAGTAGCACCCATCCGGCAGTGCGTGGCACTGTATCGAAATATTGAGTGGTATACCGGCCAGGGCGAGACAAATCCGGTGCGGGGCGCCTATGTAATGCGATATTGTAGGGCACACAAAGAAAATGCGGCAAATAGGCAATATGATTGAATATCAAAGGATATCTTTTTTCACTCGTATCCCACGCTTGGAGGCTCTCAAATCTCATGCTTTTAGTTCCAAAAACAGCATATCACCTCTCGAATGTCGTCAGAAAAAAAACGAGCAATAGAAAAAGTAAAAAAGCAAAAGCAAGCCTAATAAGCTATAAATAATAGACTTTATTATTTCTGGCTGCAAGTCAATGATAATAATTGAAATATAGCACAGATTAACCTGACTGGTGGGACATCGCTATTGGAGAACCGAGTTCGATCCCGGGTGCCGAAACAAGTGGCGCCAACAATTAGTGACCCTACCACTGGCGGACGCTGAGGAATGAAGATCGAACCAAAGAGCGACACACAGTCCCGGCCCCGGTACCGAGCTGACCCAGACGACACTCCGCCCACCTGTGGGCAGCGGTGGTGGGCTGCACTCGTAAACCAGTCGCCCCGGCACACAGAAATGGCCGCCGACTCCGCCGCGCCGACAGACTCCATTCGCCACTACATGGACACCGGATTCGGAGCTCCGCGAGAATATCAAAGTGTCGCGATATGCCCGGCGGCGAGGCGACGTGCCCATTGGGTGGCCATAACGCTCAAATGGCCGCAGTATGGCCGTCTGGCGCGAGACGTCTCGGTTTGACAGAGTCGTCAGGAAGACTGCCACCGCGCCGACAGACCATAAAACCGTCGCGAGAGTGGCTGGCGGCCACAGGTGGTCGAGACTGGAGACCGCTCTCGATATAAGGTGACAATCGCAGCACTGGAGTAACTCTATGATACAGACACGAGCCCTTGATCGAATGCTTCAGGCAACGCCGATAAATGACTAACCGTAGAATTCGCAAATAGCGACAAGCACAGCGAAATACATCATGCTTACATAATCACCTTAATAAGATTTTCCAATCATACGCCTCAAAACATAATCACACCCTCTCTTCCCGGTAGGACAGGCTCCCCTCATGCACCCTGCTCCCTCCCCCCAGCCACTCACTGATCGAGGACGAACGTCTTCTGCGGCGGCCGGTCGGCCGGGTCCTCCTCAGGCAGGTCGAGCACGGTCATGTCAAAGTCGGAGCCGCCCTCCAGACGGATCACCACAGAGTCCAGGAAGCGCAGCAGCAGCTCGGCCTGATCGCCATCCAGACGAGTATCGGGCTGCGCCTCCAGACGCTCTAGGAACACGTCCACGCGACGCTGTAGAGAGAAGGAGGGGAGGGGTGATCTCAAGACGTCCGCGAGCACATGTCAGTATTTTACAGTGACGTAAAACATGCCATCAAAACAGTTGTTAGGGAGGGACTCGAATTTGAAGTTCGAATACACAACCTCTAAGAATTTATAATATTAGCTTAGAACAGACGTCATACATTTTCACCTAAAATTTGGTGTATTATGTTACGTATATATAATACCAATGTGCAGGCAAAAATGTACAGGGATAGATGAACCGATAATATGTCCTTATCATTAGGTTTGGGTAACACGTTGAGCGATGTAAACGTGGGCAGTATCGAGAACATGTAAAGCAGGCCTGGATCAAACCGTTCCGGGACATCAGTTTATTCCCCATGCAATTACCGGAAAATTATCCGATCAGTTGGCTCCACAAAGTGGGTTAAAAGGTTCTGCCGGCGGGACGTCACTGCCTCGCACTAACTGGCTAGTACCTTTCCTGCGTATCTGCGAATTAACCAATCCCAGCATCTAGCACGATTGAGAAAAATACCGGGAAACTAAATCCTGCATATCATGTAGGTGATATTTTAGGAGGATGTCGTCCTGAGCCTGGTGTAATGGACCATTTAATCTGCTTCCTTATTCTTAGATTCATAGGCTCAGAATCAACTCATTCTATTCATCAAATAGAAATGAAAAACATACATTCATTAAAGATCAAAGGCTGCATGAGCAGTAAAATGGGCGGCGGCGGCGGCGGCGCTGTCCCCCTAGCGACTCGGAGCGCCGCCCTGGCCGCTCGCATCTCACATAGTTGGCTAGTAATGGCCCGCGGCCATTGAGTTACGGCCAGAGGTGCGATACTTTACCACATTACGACCCACACTGTAGCACCACCACTCGGTCTAAATATGACGCGGTATTTCAGGGCCGGCGGTCAGACACCACAGCGTACTCTGTTTTATGCGGACGCCATGTCAAAGTTGGCAAATAAATTTAAATGTTTCAACAAATTATTTGAATAAAAGCATATTGTCTAAAGGTACCTGAACAGGAAATTATTAACACCGAGCACATCAGATATTGCCACCAGGCAACCGAGAGAAATCGCTGAAAGAAGCACGCCTGGCAAACCATACAATGCAAGCGTAAGAAGTGAACGGGGGTCCGATAAAAAGCGTGCACCGCGCAGCTTCGGTAGGGGCGCACCAGTCCACCTTTATGGCTCGAGGCTGCGGTCCATCCTTTACCGAGACTCAGTAGATAGGACGGGAGTGGTGTCATCAAAGACAGGAAGTGTGTGTGGGGGTGAGGGGAGGGGCGACGCTCCAACGCGTCTCAATGGCCCCGCGCCGCCGCACGGACAAAAGGAGCTTGTCAAGCCAAGTCATATATTATTCAGTTTCAACACAAAGGATATATGGCGCAAAGGACTCGGACTAAGATGAATAACATTCATTAAATACTTCTGAAAAGCACCTCCTTTATCCCATTCCGTCGATACTTTCAAACCAAGCCTTTCGTTCAAAATTATGCGCATCGCAATTTCAAGCTTACTCGGTGATAAAATAAGCAAGAGATCGAGAACAACGTGAAGTGTATAGTTGACTGTTTTTGGGCGTTTGAACTACACGGCAATTATGCGTCACGAGATCGTTTGATGGTTGAGAAGATTTAATGCTTCAGAAATGAGAGGCCCCGAGATAAGAAGTTCTATGAATCTAAAATGCAAATACAAGACGAACAGATGCGGCGCCTCAAATTTATAAATAAATGAACAAAACGTGTCTTTTTTTGTCACGCACAGCCGCCTACAGGCTTTCATGTTGCTGAGGAAATAGCACGGATGCAAGCGTGGGCCGGATTGTGTTCACGAGAACAAAGAAATTGTTGGGTTAGCATCCAATTACAAAAAGATCACTAGCTCTAAAGCAGCACGCACGACAAAAGGCAGACTGATTAAAACGCTGGATCCTTTAGGAAACAGCGACGCCCCTAGCAGCGACGAACGGCCGGCGGGCCGGCCAGTCAGACCGATCCACAGCCGTGCGTGCCGCCGCGCTAATAAGACCTATCACACCCGCACCCGCACCGTCAGGAGCCAGCTCACCTTCAGGTTGGCGATCTGCTCCTCCTGGCGCTTGACGCACTCCTCCGGGTGGTACTTGGCCTTGAACCTGTCGTCAGCCAGGAGCCAGGTCAGACGGGCCAGGGAGGGGAGCGGGGACTCAACACATGCCTCAGACGGACGTGCAGAAAGAGACGCTCCGCCGCCAACGGTTCAATAAGAAAACATACACGGCAAATAAAAACATTAGGGGTTGGTCTAGTGAGAGAACACGACGGGATGAGCTAGTATGACGGGACAGGGCGAGCTGGAGCAGTACAAGGCAGGACAGCGCAGCAGAACAGAACAGATCAGGTCAGAACTGAGTAGGACCGTATGCGAATCGAGGCCAACTTTGCAGCAGATTGAAAGGTCGAACTGTCACAGCTCAGCATCAGAGTTATGCCAAAAGAAAGTCACACACAAGCACGCGTACACGGACCACACGGCGCGGCAGGCGGCCACCACCATCCCCGCGGCCGACCGCCAGACGCCCCCTTACCTGACAGTTAGCCGGCGCCCAGCAGGCGCGCACTCTCCACTCGCGCTCGCTCGTTCTCTGTTCGTATATCGCGCGCGACGCGGGCCTCGGTGGACCCCCTAGCTATCCTACGACTCGCATTACTAACTGCATTGCGCGCAGTGACCTAGCTATCGCGGCTGGCATTCGCGGAGGTGGCGGAGGTGGCTGGAGCCGGTGTCTGCGGCCCTTCGGCGTCTTCAGAGGCAGAGTCGGACTGCAGGGCTGCTCTGTGGAGGCAGACGGCGGGTTAGTGGGCCGGCGCGGCGGCCCGAGCCAGCCCGACGGGTGGGTCGGACCGCCGGCCGCCAGACACGGCCCCGGCCCCGAACCAACGGGACCAGCAGCCCCAGACTGAGGGTCCAGGACCTTGACAGGGGCCAGCCAGACACGGGGGACCCCGGACCACAGGGGACCACCCAGAGAGGGAGGGCCCTGGACCATGGGACCGGCCTCGAGACGGATCATCAGGGACCAGCCCCAGACAGACGGGACCAATCCAGAACCGGACGGCCCCCGGACCACGGGAGGGACCAGAACCGAAACATAGGAGGCCAGGACCATTTAATCTGGACCACAGAGACAGGTAGGAACCCACACCATCAAAATAGTTACTTGGGCCACCACAGTAAGTACTGCATGGACATGGGCCAGCCACTGTGACAAAACATCGCTCAGCATCTATGGGAAGAAGTGTCTAGCCGTAGAAGAAGTTTATGATACCTTGGCTAAAATTCTGGAGGCATAGGTACTATAGATCTACGGGAAAATACTTAACCATTATCGAAATGATAATCCTAAAAAGGGTTATAGTAAAAACGAAAGCCAAGGAGACAGATAAGCCAAGGAGAGCTGGAAGGAGTCATCATTTCGGATCGCCGCACCACTCGCCATTGTCACTCGCAATCTTCTTCATCACTTTTGTCACTGTTCCGTCACTGTTCCATCACTGTTCGCCACTGTTCGCCACTGTTCGATCGCCCCGCATTCATCACTCTGCCCTTGCCGCGCGCGTCACCACTGATACACTGCACTGCCTCGCAACACTCTCCTTTTTCCATCCGCAAACCGCCGCGACACGCCGGGGAGATCTGTCAACGGCCATCATGAAACGTGGAAAACTGGCGCTACTGGAATACTAGGCTACTGGAAAACTAGCTCTTTGAGCAACAACTGGGCGTAGGCCGTAGACTGCAGGTTCACTGAACCCTGAGGAGCGACTGAAGGTCCTACTGGCGCCGGGAGGCGGCTCTACAGTAGCCCCGACCGGCGGTGGGGAGCCGTGCCGGACAGCCCGACCGCGGCACTCACCACTCCTCCTCCTTGTGCGCCAGGAAGAACTCGTTCAGCTGCTGTCGACGGAAGTCGAGCTTGTACTCGGTGTACTTTTTGATGGCCTCGTCGTCTGTGATCATGTCGTCCTGAGAGGCCAGGAACGCCTTGAACGTCATCATCGGCGGCTGGCTGGGCCCGTCCGCGTCCGAATAGCTGCAAACAATGGACCGGGATGGGGGTGAATGGGGAACAGGGATCGCAATTTTTTCAAGTGCAGCAACGAAGCAGGCATGTATGTAGCATAGTGACGCTGGACGATTCGTTGGCAAAACAAGCTGTTAGCAAAACATTAGAGTATCATTCGTGTTCTTTTTCACAGCAATATTTAGCGGTAAGTAAGGTTTATTTTTCTCCAATTTCGTTCTCAAAGAAGTAAGCGATATGTTAAGAATTCCAAAAAAATTCAATAAACATTCTGTATTACCGACAGCCCGGCTGTTGTGTCCTGCTGTGGGCCGTTTATCTTTGGCGGTGATTTTTGGGACCAGGGCGACTACCCGCGGCGTTCCCAGCGTGGACTCCATCAATCCGCGCGGGATGAAAGCCGACTGCGCCAGGCCGACCGGTCGGAATCAGCTTTCAAAGGAGTTATATTTGTGTTCAGAAGTTCGCCACAGGTTCGCGGAACGTGTGGGCGGCCGGCAGGGCGACGTCGCAGACAGAGGCCAACCGTGATCGGAAAGACTGTTGCACAGGTGCACTGACCCAAGCCTCATGACTGGAATGTAGGCGTCGTTCGGTATACGTTGCAATTTGCAAAAGAAAGTGAAATTTTGAGAAGCGAAATGATGAGGGCAGATAAAGCGAAACCGGTACGCATGTTTTCTTTCATTCACGTGGGTGCAGTATGGCCGGTGGGTGTCATACAATGAGTGAATGAGCGCGGCCGGGTGGGTGTGGCGTGTCAGCAGCTCAGACCAACTGACTCGCAGTTTCACTCAGCCCGCGCCGACCACTCACCCGCCGCCGAAGGGAGCCACGGCCGGCGCACCGCCGCCGCCTCCGTATCCGTCACCGGCGCCGTAGCCGGTGGGGAAGCGCCGCTCGCCGCCGCCCCTGCCGAACGAAACAGGACAACCGTGAGAGATCGGACCAGACACAGCCCGGGATAGGAGCGCAGTCCGGAATCGTACCGAACACAACACAGGTTAGAACCAGAAACAGCCCTGGATAGGACCGCTACCTAAAGTCGGACCACACACAACACAGGATCGGACCGGCAAGCGCACGTAGCCCGGGATGGGACCACGGCCAGCGCACAGCGAACACCAGTCGGCTCAGCATGCTCCTCTCGCAAACGGGCAGCAATGCGTCTCTATAACGACCAGGGTTAGCGAAACATGCTCACTATGCATTTTTGAAACCAGCAGAGTGATGAGACGGGCTGAGCGCGTCGTCGGCCGGCGGCCGTGTCGGCGGCGCGGGCCCGTCTGTTCTAAGGAGATGAGCACATTTCGGGCCGATTTGCAGCGATCCCCATCCGTCGAGGCTAAATCCCGGGGGAGCAGCTGTCGGCTGGAGGACATCACACAGGCCGCCGCACAGGCAGGCGACCCGCGGCTCCCTGGGTCCCGGCGGCTCCGTCAGTTCGGCCGAGAGTACCAGGAGGAAGGACCTCAGGGAGACAGATGTGGAAGATATGGGTATAAAGAAAACATTTCGATCGATGATACCAAGCCTAGGCATTAAATGTCAAGGCTTATTACCGAAACATATTACCCAAACATGTTTGTGAGCCAGCAGCAGTTTTTTCACATTCCCCTCTATCAAGTTATTCATCAGTATCAGGTTCCATCAGGTTGGGGTGTTTTTAACAGTTGGGCTCCCCTTCCATCCCCCCCCCCCCCCAGAAGCATATCATAAGTTCGTGAACCCCACAACGCCCACAAGAGGCGACTACGCGGATATTGATCATATGTAGCTGTGGCGAGTTAAAATTGGATAGAGGTCACCGGCCAATTAGTTGAACAGCACCCCTCCTGGGCCGCCTTAGTCCATGAGCTGGGTTTACGGCACGCCGTTACCTCGTTCAAGTTGTAAAACTGCGCCGTCTTTAACCCGTGCCCGCCCACTCAGTGGCCGGAAACTTCTCCATTAACAGGCGCCCCAATGACACGGGTCGAGCCCGTACAGAGGGGTCACTGTTACCCCTCGCGGAGACGCAGGGCAGTCACTCAGAGCGGCATCTCAAACACAGCACCGCGCTCAGCGCAGTACAGTGTACTACAGCACACTACAGCGCAGCACAGCAGAGGTTCGGCGGTATCAGCAGTCTCTGAAACAGCCTTTACTGCGGAGCAGTCCTACGTCTGTCTGTTCCATGGAGCCACTCCCAATTACTGGGCCAATATGAACAGGCAACGGACGGCGGATATGGGAGCTCTGCTCGGCGGCAGTCCCGCTCGCCATTTCCGAGTCCATAGTCTATCTGATAAAGGACCCACACATCATCGGAACGGGTGATTGGGCCTTATTCCAGGGCACTGTTACCGCGCTAACCCGCCAAGTTATTGGCTGTACAGCATGAACACGAGCGCACAGGATCGGAAGTCAGTGTCCTGAAATTGATTTTTCGGAGAGTGTGATTGAAGCCGCAAGGACGTCAGTATTTCATATGGACGTCGATATCGGTGCGGAGCCTCAGCCACTGAAGATCCCTTAAATCTCTTAAAATTAGCGATTTTCACTAGCAATTTTGACTAATAGCACCTCAAGGCACCTCAAAGGATCATATATAGACTCAAAGTAATGCCAGTTTACCCCTAGTACAATACAAATTTCAATCATTCATCACAAACACCAAAACAACACTTTGAAGATGTTTAGTTCTTGTCCATGATCGTACACAACAGTCAGTGACAAATATGCTTCAACAAAAATCAGCCCAAGAGCCAGCGGCTATCACTATATATTGACGTCATAACAGGGATATTATATTGAGCAAGAGGAGTGACGTAAAAAAAACAGACGTCCAGACAAAGAGCTGGAAAACAGCTAGGAAAATTAATTTCCATAGCTTCCTGTTATGAAATTCAATTAAGAAAACTCCAAGGTAGACGCTGAATTTTTCTTCGCTGGAAAAAAATGTGAAATCATTGTGCACTTTTCAGTTTTGTACCGACGTCGATTTAATGGGAATGACAAGGCCAATCGACGTCCCCAACATTGCGTGTATTTTTAAGCCAAAGACGACATACTTTAATTAAAATTGTTGAAATTCGGTAACTTTATTTTAATTTAAATAAATAAACACAAACTTTTTTTCCCAACCACGATCAACATATGCAAAATTAACTACTTTTGAAGTGTAGGTTCAAGGGATAGCGCTACCCCGTTACTGTGACCTTCTGAGGGGAAAAAATAATTAAATATATTACAGTGATTTGATACAAAAGGTATGTTGTGTGCTTATAGATAAATGTCGAAGTAATATATTCGCATGATTAATTTTTATCTATACACTGCACAGTTACTAAAACTGAAAAGTGGAAAACGACGTCCTCAGATCCCTCTATTCCGACGTCTTTTCTCCTTCATATGGCAGCTATTACCTTCACATGATAAAGGAAAAAAAACTATCCATATCTGACGCACAGAAAACGAACATAAAACCGCGTTGTTTACTGTTGCGGCAGTTCGCCAGCGGTGTTGGAAAGGGGAGTTGAGTATAAGAGTGGGTTTTGTGAGGCCTCGGGATATATTTATTGTCATTTTGCACAGCCGTGTTTTTAGGCCACAGAGGTGATATTTCTTTTTGTTAGTTTGCTTTTGGTGTTCGATATACCTGTCTACTTTTATCTGTCAGGGACGTCGTTTGGCTTTCCGGGACGTCACAAAGAGAATCTGTTCGGGTGTGGGTTTCCACCCAAATTCACGAAAATCAGGACACTGTCGGAAGTGAAGCTGAATATGGAACCGGAATACAGACACGATTGTGTCTTGCTTACTGGATAGGGAGGACGACGGCGATCCACACATAAGTATTCCGCTTATTTTTTATTATAAAAAAAATACTTACACGAATAAGATTTAAAATAGATAATCCGCTATTTTAACAAATCAGATCAGAAAATAGCACTTACCAGTAGAACTATGAGGAAACTGACTCAAACATCTCTTTTCCCAGCCTGTGACCCTCCCAAATCATCTTCCCCCACAAAGACACAATGGGAACACAACACACCATATAGTCACACTATAAGTATACACTTTGTCATAGTCCAGTTTGGGTTTGGGGCGCCCTGTAGCCGTCCACTCACCAGTCGGCGCGCATCCGTTTGTGCGGGGGCGGCGAGAGGTCGGGACCGGGGCTGTAGCCGCGCGGCTCCCGGCCCCGGTACGCGTCCATTCTGTAGTCGCCGCGACTGCGGATCTGACCGCCGCCGGCCCGGCCGCGGTCGTATTCTCTGCCGGCCGGGCACCGGGTCACAGTCACGGGTCGAGCGTAACGCACCGGAGTCGAGGATGGTGACACGTGGAGTAATGGACACGACAACATATGGGCACCCACTAACAAAGGCTAGATATTTGTAAATCTTGTTTTACTTTGATGTCACAAAAAGAAGAAAAGAAGATTAAAAAAGATCAAAGGGGCTTCAGAAAAAGAAAGCATAATGGGAAAACAAGATACCTAGGCATACTAGATAGTACACAAAATGAATGGTTCTTTTCAGATTCAACAACTATCGAGACTGTGATCTGATGTGCTAGCTTGCACAAAACAACAAATGGGACAAGAATGCCATTAGAAAAACGACCAAATGTCTCACAAAGCAGCATCTAATCGGGACAACACTCAGTGGCTACAGCAGCTCACCGCCGCGCTAGCCACCCTTACATGTCATCGCGTCTCGGCCGGGCGTCCCCAGTGCGCTCTCCCCTGAACTTGTCCCTGCGGCGCCGGTCGTACTCGTCATCAGAGTCAGCCATCGCCGCAGCAGCACAGGAGCTGTAACGCAGAGCATCAGCCGTTACTGAGAGTATCAGACACTGTAACGCCGCTCCACACTGGACCTTGCATGCGGGTAGCGAGTCTGCAGGTTTCAGGTTTCAGGTGCCGTAAAACGGGATGTTAAGGGACAGTTTTGATGTGTTTTGTTATATAACTCAAGAAGGGTTGGAGATAGAAGCATTAAAGGGACTGTCCCACCTTCAAAAAATTGCTTTGATATACTGTTCTTGTGTTGCAAGACATAGATTATGGGCCCCTTTACACGAAATTGGCAAACATTCGGCCCATAGTTGGCTAATTGTTTAAAAATTCCAATTTAAAGCTTTTGGATCGATTACGTCATATGATTGTTTTTTTATCGGGCAAAGTTTTTTTCCTAGCTGCCAAATCGGTGGCACAAAGTTTTGTTACGCTTCTGCCGCGAATAGTACAAACATTGCGCATAAACTCAGGAAATTGGTAAACATGTTCAATGTTCATGGAAAGGATTGAAATGAAAATTGGAAAATTGAAGCTTGAACTTTGTCCAGAAGAAGGTCGCAAACTGCAAAGAATATCAACAAGGCCTTATTTATCATTTTTAAAAAGTTATAGAATGCTCCCTAATAAGCAAAAGCAAGATATTGATGTTTGATTATTGATGCTGCCCACAATGTCTTGGGCACATGGATGATGGAAGTGAGCTCAACTTCAATAATCAGACCTAAGAATCACAATGGATATAGCCATGAGCCAGACTGCAAAGTGGGGCAAGTTTGTCTAGATTTTGTCAGTGCGGACTCCTTCGTCTGGTGCGGATTTAAGTGTGGTGCGGTGCGGATTTGGTCTAGTGTGGTGCGGATGTAGTGTAGCGGGGTGCGAATTTGGCTTGCTGTGGTGCAGATGTGTAGCATTGTGGGGATTCGAGGTCAGTGCAGATTTTGACTGGCCATTTTGGGGTTTGGTGCATTTTTTGTGTTCTCTCAGGCCTCAGCCCCCTTTGGTGTGAATTTTCGGGCTCTGTTTGAAGGGTTTGTGTCAATTTTGAGCTTGGGAGTTGGGCCAGTGCTCCTTGGCGACCTGCGAGCCATACTCTGCAGTACTGGCCTGGGCCCATGAGCAAAGTAATATAATATAGTCTGTTCAAGATTCAATATAATAAGTCTGCAAAACACATTCCAGCAATTGTAATTGAAGCAGAATGAATTGTAGTGAACTGCATTTGTATTTTTGTTGTGTCTGTGAAAAATAATAAATATACCTACCTATTGGAAAAATTGTGGCCTTTCAGCACATTTGGCAGAGTTGTGTGACTCTGATTTAGTGGCTCAGGTGGAACGCAACGAGCTGCGGAACAAGCTTGAATAGCATTTTGCCTCAGGGCTATCTGCCAGAAACATTTCATCTGCATAAATTTGCCTACAGGCAAGTCTGACAAATTTGTGGATTAACTGGGGTCCTTGTAAGCCTGCATATTAAATTCTAGCCCACCAGCTCAGCCCTATTCTCAGTTTCAGCATTCAGCATGATAACAGTTCTGATCAAGTTCTGATTTTCACCACTGAGACACCAATGGAGTCCTCTGAAATTTTGCCTTTCTATTAGATTATTTGTAAGAGTTTCAGCTACATTTACATTGACCAAACGTTTCACTCTCAAAGATCTGCGACCCACCCCACTCGTCCAGTAGGATGCCTGGCGCGCAAACAGTCCAGCAGTGAGCTGCCAGCCGGTGCGCAGGGCAGCAGCAGGCGGCGGCAGCAACAGCAACTAGTGAACATGTCTTGGACTGCAGCCACGACATGATCTAGGCCTATTCAATTTGTCCATGTACAAGTACCACAGCTCCTGCCCGAGGTCGCGCAAGTCAGGGAACTGACCACCTCCAGCCCAGGCGTGGTTCACTGACTCAAGACATTTCAACTGACCAGTCAGAGTTCATGTTTTGCAACTTTTATCCAAGTTATTTGTAATTGTAATATTCTAAACTGAATTTTAGGCATGACTTCATTTTTCAAGAGCTACACAGAACACGCCTTCCCTGTACAGCACGTCTATTGTCCTAACATTAGTCAAATAGTTGCAAGAAGCGACTTGAATGCGGAACCTGCCTGTTTTGAAGCCCCGTTGTCTGTTGGGTGACACTGCACAGAGGTAAGGATGGGGTGTGATTTTGCTGCTGTTTGTCAGGTGCAATATGTGTGTCAATGATCACAAAGTAGTTACTCTTAAAGGTTTAAAAAATGCACAGCATGGCCTAACAAGGCACATTACCTAGGTTTTGACAAGCAGCGCAGTGACTGTGGTACAAAGGCCCAGTCCCATGCTCATGTTAGTAGCTGGATCTGCTCCCAGGAAACAAAGGTAAAACACTATTGACAGCTTTAAGATGAAATCTGCAGGAAAACTAAGCCATCTATAAAATCTAACATAAGCTTAAAAGCACAACAGAGCATTTCTTATTCAACATGCAGCACTTCCGCTTTCATCCGCCATCAGCAACTCAGTTCAAAGAATGATACATTACATCACTAAAATTTATTTCAAAACATCTCTGCATGGTGTTTATACAAACAACAGTTCTTTACTAGGCATGGTCGACCTCAGGCCACCCACACTTCAGCATACAGGGTATTATCAATGTTTAACGGCTCAAGGTTAGTCGTCTTGGATGCTCAGAAATAAAAAGGTGAACATTCATCGTCTCTTCCTTAGTTGTCACCATCAATAGATTGTGGACTTCTCAGAGCATGTCTTGATTATGGAGTTGAAAGTTGAAACAGCAGTGAGCAAATCATTTATCATTTTGATACTATGATTAATTTTAGAGAGTTGCACACTTGAACTTGAGGTAATATATACTAATACCGAAATTTGTGTTTGATTTTGACATCTGTGCAAATAAGTGCCACAATGTATTGGTATTGGCACTTAAAACCTGTGACGTTTCCGCCTTTTCCGAAGTTTCTGTATCTGTCGACTTGTTTTTATCGAAACCTTGAAAAATAACAACGCCTCCTTGAACAGCGCCCATTCGTTCCGGGTGGAGAAATAAATTGATATGCCAAACTAATTCTAATAGTCTTCTAATTCTTGTAGTATTTTTATTTTTGTATTTAAATAGTTAAGAGGCCGTCCTAAATGTGACTGAAGAATGCAAGAGCCATGAACTTATCAATGGCAGGTGTCAAGTTCGGTATTAGTATATATAAGGTCCGAGTGGCGAACCGATTATGAAAAGCATACTATACGATGTATTTTGACCTCCTCATTTCATATCTGATAGTTATTCCTTCTGGAACCAAGTATCAAAGCACCTATGAAATACTTACAGTTACCGCAAATCGCTACCGCACTCCACACCAACTCCACACTATCGCAATGTGCCTGGCGGCAATTACTTGCGCAAAGCTGGCCAAGGTCAAGAAAATCAAGGATGATATTTAACAGCTGCTATTCAACTGTGAATAATGACGTCATAATACTTCTCGCGGCGAAGCAGCGCAGTGCCGAAGGCAATGCCTTAGGAGAGATTACAGGCAAGAGTAAATCAAATATTTTTAGGTTAAGTGGTTATGTATCTGGCTTCAGGCCGAAGGCCTGAAGCCTGATGCATGACCACTTAACCTAAAAATATTTGATTTACTCTTGCCTGCAATCTATTCCTGCAAGTAACTTTTTCCTTATCCCCGGTAGGCAAACATCAGTAGGTTAGGTTAGGTTAGGTTAGGTTAGGTTAGGTTAGGTTAGGTTAGGTTCCTTTTTTTCTAATTATGACGTCACTTTCATCACACCATTCGTATCGTTTTCTTTTTCCCCACCCAAAACCCGTTCCTAAAATTCCCCTGAAATGGCAGCAATCCACATATGGCAGCGCTACAACGCCCACGTTTTTCATTCGTCGCGTGGTATTGCCGCCGGGTGGTATTGTAGTGAAATGGGTTGGTGATTTGGTGTTTTTTCCACGTTTCCAGTACATGTAAGTATCATTTTTGGATTCAGGATGTCAAATAATGTAAGAATGTGAAAACTTCATCTTTTAACAGGCACTCGGACCTAATGTATACTTTTACCCAAATTTCTTTGCGATGAAGTAATTGCTGGAGAAACGGTTTTCACGGCTCTGATTTTCAAAGAACGCCCATCAAGATGGCTATCTCAACTCAATTCTAATGTTAAGGTGGGACAGTCCCTTTAAATTGTCTGCATTTTATGTGGAATTTGGTGTTTTACATGCCTGCTACATTTAAGTTTTAAAAATATATACCTGCATCTTATTTTTATTATTTTTCATTACTGTCCCTTTGCATCCCAATGTGGGGTGTTAGGGTCTAACTATATTATTACAAGAAATGGCCATCAAATGCCCACAATTGGGGTGTGAAATCATTTTCAGATGGTGCAAACAAACTCGCTACTTAGATGGCAGGGTGGGTCACTTGATGAAGTGCCAGAATCCTAGGCAAGATGATCAGCGTGTATTTGAGAACTTTGTGATGCCATTCCTAAGCGAACGGATCATAGAGAATGTGGAATTCAAATTGGAATTGGAATGGCTTGTGGGCCGGAAGCAGCACTGACTGACGAAGAGCGCAAAATAAACACAGAATAAATACAGAGGCATGAACACATATACTTACTATTATATTATCAAGGATGACTTTTCGATGGCAATCTGAATCACTTAACAATCATACAGCATATAAAAAATCAATTCATTCTATCTACAAAACCTCTGCGCGGCGTGTTCACCGGCGTCACGCCAATGTTTGTGTCAATCCTGGCGCAGTGCGACTTTTACGAGATAAGGGACACCGGCACTAAATCAATTGCTGGTGAAATTCACATTGACAACAACATTCTCTTTGAGTATTTACTATTTTCAAAAGTGTATTTTATTTAATAATGAGCAATAAGCAACGCAAGAAGTTTAAAATGTGTTCGTTATTGAGGTGCTTCCTGTGTTGATAGCAATACCTGTCATTAAGAAGCCAAAAGGCCATCGAAGAGCTATGGGACGATAGGATATGTCGCTGACATTGGGCAGTGCGAACCAGTGACCACCGACGAGCGGCAGAGACGGTCTCGGTGGGGCGGAAATATCCCGATGGGACAGGAATGTTCCGATGGGACAGTCCACCCATGCCACTCAAGGGTTACCCCGGAGGAGAGGGTGTAATCCAACGAAGACTTGCCCTCGCCACTGCACCCTTTCCGCCGGTCGGGAAAGGGAATTGGCTTGAGAGTGGAGGATCCGATGCGGATGGGTGCGGATGCGGATGCAAATTAGGACCGGGCGGGGGCGGAGAGTCACTATTAGGAGTTTCAGGTTTAGGTAGGACCAGGTCCAGACCTATATTTCTAGCTATAGCCTATAGGTAGAAAAGACAAGCCAGCTTGGCACCGGAGAAGGGGAGGCTGATAGGCCTATCAGCCACTCTGCTGCACTCTCCTCCTCCTCCTCCTCTCTCTCTCTCTCTCTCTCTCTCTCTCTCTCTCTCTCTCTCTCTCTCTCTCTCTCTCTCTCTCTCTTCTCTCTCTCTCTCTCTCTCTCTCTCTCTCTCTCTCTCTCTCTCTCTCTCTCTCTCTCTCTCTCTCTCTCTCTCTCTCTCTCTCTCTCTCTCTCTCTCTCTCTCTCTCCCTCTCTCTCTCTCTCTCTCTCTCTCCCTCTCTCTCTCTCTCTCTCTCTCTCTCTCTCTCTCTCTCTCTCTCTCTCACTCACTCTACACACCAGCTCGCAATATCTACCTCCACCGAGTCGATCTCTTCAGCGGTCCTCATCGGCGGGTGAGGAGTGCCCTCTCCATATCCCAGATGCAGTTGCCCCATAACCCCGGCGTTGACGATGCCGGCGCGGATCGTCGATCTGTCTCTCCGCTCGATCGGCGCCAAGGACGTCGGCCGCGACGCCCGGCGGCTCCGTCATTTAGCGTCCGGTGCCGGCGGCGACGCCGTCTCGGCCCTGATCCCCCGCGGGAGGCGATCACCAGGCGGCCGCTCCCGTGGAGGCGATCCCGGCGCGGCACGGCGGCCATCCGGAGCGCTGTCGGCAGCCGGCTATTTTGTGTGCAGGGTATGACGTATTTTGCGAGCCGACGTCACAGGCGGTGACGTCGGCTCGCGCGCGAGCCGAGCGCCAACGACAAACTAACGGGAACCCTCGGACACCCTCGGGGCATAAACCGCGGAGTAGCATATTGAGCGAGTTTTATAAGGAAAATTCATATTTTTTCGTTTCTCAAATGATAATCAGGGTGTCTCTTACCTTTTTACATATCATTTAGGCTTACCTAACACTTCAGTTGCCAAATATCTGCAATTTATTCAAGCCAAGGTATCTTCAGTAAATATCAATGGTATAGACCGAAATCTTTTAAATAAAAACTCCAACCAACAGAAATAAAAATAACTTAATTTATTCCAACCATTTCCTCCAAATAAACAACATAAAAACTCACTTTTTACACACATCATCCATAATAAAGCATACTAACACGCCGCTTTTGACAATGGCGGCGTCGAGTGGCGCGCTGCTAGCGCTCTTTTTCGATCGCAGAGACCCTGCACGCGCGCGAGCACACTACGTCACGTCCGGGGGGCACAGGTATATGAAAAATCGCAGTGACGTAACACTTTTCTCGCTTCTCATTGGTCAATAGCCCGTTGCCGGGGTAACGTGCACGTATGTGAGCGCGGGCAAGAGTACTAGCCGGCCGCCGATCAGGGCTCCGGCGCGGCGACGTGAACACATCGCTCCGAATCTCACGGTCGTCAAGTTAGATGTAAGTGAATCCTAATCTATAATCTAAGATTCGGAATCAGGAGAGCCCCTACGATTTGGACCAAACTTGGTCAGTGGATAGTACGTAACGTCCTGATTACGATGCACCCAAAATCTAAGCTCGGCCCGCCATATTTACGAAGTTACGGATGTTTGAATTTCAAGGTCATTCGGGAGAGCCCCTGCGATTTCCTTCAAAATTTGTGTACGGACACTCTAGATGCTCCTCATTACGAATATCACAAAATTTAAGCTCGGCCCGCCATATTTACGAAGTTACGGAGGTTTGAATTTCAAGGTCATTTGGGTGAGCCCCTACGATTTCCGTCAAAATTTGTGTACGGACACTCCAGACGCTCCTCATTACGAATATCGCAAAATTTAAGCTCGGCCCGCCATATTTACGAAGTTACGGAGTCACAAAGTTACGGAATTTCAAGGTCATTCGGAGAGCCCCTCCGATTTTCGTCAAAATTTGTATGCGGACACATTACATGCTCCTCATTACGAATATCGTAAAAGCTAAGCTCGGCCCGCACTATTTCAAAAGTTACTGACGTTTGAAACTCACTGAAATTCAAACATCTCTAACTTTTGAAATAGTGCGGGCCGAGCTTAGCTTTTATGATATTCGTAATGAGGAGCATGTAATGTGTCCGCATACAAATTTTGACGAAAATCGGAGGGGCTCTCCGAATGACCTTGAAATTCCGTAACTTTGTGACTCCGTAACTTCGTAAATATGGCGGGCCGAGCTTAAATTTTGCGATATTCGTAATGAGGAGCGTCTGGAGTGTCCGTACACAAATTTTGACGGAAATCGTAGGGGCTCACCCAAATGACCTTGAAATTCAAACCTCCGTAACTTCGTAAATATGGCGGGCCGAGCTTAAATTTTGTGATATTCGTAATGAGGAGCATCTAGAGTGTCCGTACACAAATTTTGAAGGAAATCGCAGGGGCTCTCCCGAATGACCTTGAAATTCAAACATCCGTTACTTCGTAAATATGGCGGGCCGAGCTTAGATTTTGGGTGCATCGTAATCAGGACGTTACGTACTATCCACTGACCAAGTTTGGTCCAAATCGTAGGGGCTCACCTGATTCCGAATCTTAGATTATAGATTAGGATTCACTTACATCTAACTTGACGACCGTCCAAATCTCCCGGTCCGGGATATACGAGTATGGATGATGTGACTGCGGCCGAAAGACAGTGATTTCCGGCAGTATACAACTGCTAAATTGCTGGCGGGAATCGTTTGAGATGGAGCACTCGACTGCTTTAGTCCCGATGGGACGGGTTATAGTGCGCTGATATGCGAGGATGCTGGATGCGTCGGGTCGCCATTATGGCCAGTGGCATGGTCTCGAGAAACAGGTCACAGGCCAAAGGTCATTTGGTCAGGGCTATGAGTATCGATAATGTATAGCTCGAGGGTCTTGAAGCTGTTGGTAGTCGTTATTCGTCGCGCTTTGAGCACGATTTACCTTATACTAATCGTCGCTTTGTGCCTACATGATTTGAAGAAAATCGAGAGACGTCCATCCAACACCCTCCCGCTTATGTGCGGGGTTAACCCTATTAGTGGCAGGCTCCTGGGCTACCCCTATTAGTGGCAGGGGGGGGGGGCTGTTTACGACCCCCCCCCCCCTTGATATCTCGAGATCTAACGGGCCGATTTTCAAAATTCAAACGGCATTCAATTTCGCTCAACGTGATCTACATTTCTAAAAAATGAAAATAAAAAAATGTCAATAGGGGGGGGGTAGAGGGGGGTAAAAACGGGCAAATTGCAGATACATTTTAGACTGTTTATCACGGCCAGGTTTCTGAACCAATCTTAACGCAACTTTTGTCGATCGATAGAGAATGAACCAGGAATTCACATGGATCCTAAAATATGCATTTTCAAAAATCATAGGCGGATACAGATCATTGAGATTGGGGGTACACAAAAAGTATAGTAAATAAGGTTTTTGTTGGTACTGTTTCTAAAAAGGGTGGTAATACAGGGTGGAAAGTAATTACGCGAACATGTATTTTCTTACAATTTCGCCTGTCAGTGGAGATTTTGCATGAGCGCGGGCTGTTATGGAACATGACTGGTCGTGTTTGTTGTCGCCTCATCTAACAAAAGTGACCTTACTTTGAAAAATGACTTGGAAGGTCTACAACACCTCTCGGCTTCGAGTGGTGCTGACGCCATACGCTGCTCAAGACCAAAATGGGCAAAGAGATCAATTTGAAGTTGCCAGGGAAAGCGTTTGTGATTATTTTGGCTGGATTGGTGCGGAAGGGACTCGGAACGGTCTCGGCACCAGCATTACTCAATTACACGTTTGGTTGAAGCATAATAAAACTTAACCCGCGCCCTGGTGTGGGTCTGAGCCACCTTCGCCCTGGTGGGGGGGGGGGGGGCAAAATGACCCCCCCCGTCTAACTCGAAAACGAAGAGGGCTAGGAAGACGCAGAAAAAAGCAAACGAAAGCCCATAACAAGTACGTTCGAAAGTATTTCAGTCATTTTTTCGCTAAGGTCAATATTGAGGTCGCTAGAGGTCATCATAGGTCAAATTTCAGTGTTTTCGGTGTTGCCGGACATATTCCGCTGTAGCTCGGAAACTAGAAGAGCTAGAGAGCCGCGGAAAAAAGCAATCGATAGCTCTTTTCAAGCTCTTTCGCCAAGGTTCGTCAGATTTGACCTCAGCTCAACGGTTTGGCCTACAGAGGTCATGCAAGGTCAACTTGGCAAATTTCGTTGAAAATGTTTTTAACTATAGCATGCATTCACGAAAAAATAGAGAAACGATTCATGCACCATCGTGCTTGGCTCGTCGAGACGCGTCGAATGATATATAGTTTGACCTCGAAAGGTCATTTTGAAAATTTGACCTCAGGTCAAGGTCATGACCTTACCGAAATAGGTCATGCTGCATATCATTCGATCCGCATTGACGAGACAAACACGATGAACGTCGAACGGAGTC